TAATGCGACGTTAATCGCTGCAACAACATTTTAGCTCCTTGATCCTATGAAGCTATAATAATTTTACGATAATGCACAAAAGTGTATCGTGTATGTAAAAAACACATTATTAAATGATTGCCTACAGAATAGCACACATATGTTATCGATTTTGATTACGCAAATACTGTTTCTACACAACAGTATGATGATCTAAATCTGTTCCGATCCGACCTGTCATTATCTGTGCATTGCGCACTTCGCTTATTATCTCTCTTACTGATTATATAGTGTTCCTTTCTTGCGCGTTGTAGAAAATAGTCGGGAGATTGAATCTCTGTCACGTACTCTCACCTCGCTTATAATTTATATGAAATTACGAAATAAACTTCCGGAACAAAGGTTCGAAAATAATTCCTTTTTCAGCGTATTTATATATTATTTGAGGAAAATAAATTTAATATATATTATTATGTATTAATGGCCTGGAATAAGTGATCGCGATTTTATTTATGGAAGGCTGGCAGAGAAAGGAATAAAGATAAATGCGTCGCAAGATCAACGTGATCAACTTTTACTCTCGTTCTCGGAGACAGATATCGCGTGCCCATTACAATAAATTCTCTTACAGCATGTGCTCAATACAGCTGGTGATAGCAGTAAAGGAAGTTTCGTAGATAGAACTTCGGTCGGAGAAAGTAAAGAACGATATATTTATTCGGGTTACACGACTGCGATTGAACAACACATCCGATGTGTCATTATTTGCGAATAAATATGCTCGCGCGAACAATTTGAACACGTGTCATGTTACATTACGTAATACCCATCGAAGAGCAATTAATTACTCTCATAAACGTAAAAAATTGTCAGAGAATAACTCAGTATTTATCATATCGCAATGAAATAAAAAGATAAAATGTTTCGAAGATAAATGTTTAAAGACAACTTAATAAAGATAAATGCAGCAGCATTGACAGATTAAAATATTGCATATTATGGGACACAGGGTGAAGATACATAATCTTTTAAGCTAAAATTAATTTGCCACATCATATCTCATTAATATTTTATAAAGCAAACTAACGTTTTTTATAGAAACCTAAGTACATAATATTTTTTACATTCTTCTCGCACAAGCGAAATGCTCATGAAATGCTTTTATCCGATATTTCTCGAGGAAACGACGAACACACGAGTACGGTGTACTCTATCATAACGAGAAATATAGTCATCACTGTCAGATACATGCGGGATTATTTTCCGCAAATGCGGATAAAATCATATTTCGAGTTCCGGCTGATATGTCAATTAACGGATCTGTCAACACGTGTATGAAACTGTCACTCGCGCGCGTTACGCGATGCTGGAGCTGCGTAAAATTTCCTCACCCACCATCGTCATCGGTCATTCGCGCCGCCACGAATGACGTGTTCGCTTCGCGGCGGCCAATTTCCCCGACTTTCTTTCACGAACGGCAAACGCCGTGGCCGCCTCCTCGCTTCTATTCCGGCGCATTAAAGTCTCTCAATCTATCTGCCGCGCCGCGAGCAAACGCATTCCGTTTCGGAAGTTCCTCCCACGACGAGAATCGCCGTCCCTCTGCGCGATCGATGATCGAGAGAACGTTCGTGGCAAAGGTCGCGGTTGCGCGAGTGATCGCGAGTAACATGTTGGAGTGATCCGCGTCATCCGATGAACCGTTGCGATAGTTTAACGAGTGTACCTTGCGGTTTTTTTGAGGTCGAAGACCCCTGCTGCGTACAAGAGGAGACAGCAATTCTCTGCGGAACCGGGGAAAAGGTAGATGTAATAAAACGCGAAATGATTATTCGGCGAATATTGAAATAATTGGCGAAGTTATAATCACAAATTCCTCTAAATCTCCATGATAATAGTACCATTAACGTCATTTTTACGACGCTATTATTTAAATTTAATTTCGTTATATGATTACATTAAATGAACGTACTTTATATAGATTTTATGTATATTTTTTAACTTACGTTCCGACGATTTTCTTTAATCAATTTAGTAAACAAACATAAATTATCGTTGTCAGTTAAAGGCGAGTGAAAATTAGAAATCTGCGGGGCCCTCGACCATTGGCTAACTCGATTCGGCAAGAAACATTAAACCTCGCGTAAAATATGTTGCATATTTATCGTTATATATAATCGAAAGGAATATTGACATAAACGTGTCACAGAGAGCATCGAGAAAGTCAATATTCTCGTATATTTTCTCTCCCGTAGAATCATATATATACTTTGAATAATTATTTTTAAAACCTTTACGATTTTTTGCGCTCTCTTTTATAATGCAAATACAATGCAAAAAATCACAAAGTTTGAATCAATAAATGCGTGCAACACAGATAAATATAATTACCATATGACATTGCTTCTAAAATATGTACATACATATTGTTCTTGCGCTTACGCATATCGTAACTTTTCCTCTTATTTATGCGTGTCACGATTGCAATGATTATTACTCAATATATATCTAATCATTAACGTACTTCTTGGATCTCATTCCGGATTAGAAAGGTAAATATATGTACGCAAAAAAGTTACATTATCACTTCCTTTTATTTTTTTTAACGTTTTTGTAAAATGCCATTGCAGTAGAATTTGAAAATTAAATTATGAACGAAAGAACCGAATAAAATTACAATATCTTTATATTCATCGATCGTACTTGCGGAAATGCGTTAACTGCCCGATTTCGATCCACTTTTGGAGAAATGAGTCACGTTGCCACGTTACGTAAACCGTGTCCGGTTGCGCGGGATTTTGCACCTCTTTTTTTTACTTTCCTCCTGTAGGATTACCGAAAGGTGCATTACTCTCTCTTTCATTGGAAAGTCACCTGGCCGTTTCTTCGCGGTTGAGATGCCGCACGCGTCTACGCGCGTGATCGCTGCGCGGCGCCACATCACGAGCGGTCGACCAGTCTGACCAATGAATACCTTTACTACTTAGACACGTACAGAGAGAGAAAGAGCTAATATTTAAAGTACTTAATTTTCGAGCAAATATTTTTGAATGTCCTGGTGTTTAAATAAGATTTTAGTCCTTCTTCCTCAATTAACAAAAATTATTTATTTTCTCTATCCATTCTTTTCATTTATTATATTAGTTTCATGTAATATCAGAGTCCATGTCACAATGTAAGTTTATTATATATAATTTAAGCTTTTTATAAGACTTAACGATTCTCTCTTTACCCTTTGAAGCTATCATTATTTTTCAAATTTTGATTTTGAAAACGAAATCGAATTCTTTCAATCGAAGTTAAAAAAACCTCATTTCATCATCGTGTCGCGCATATAAATGGCAATCTTAAATGACGAGGAATAGATTTTGTTGAGCAACTGTCCTTAAAAAGAAGTGACGACTATCAATACAGAGCCCGTGCGTAGAATAGTTCGCAATCGTTTTAAATCATGATGCGATGAAAGTAATACAGAGTGCATTCCAAAGATATGCGCTTTTAAATTCTTCACAGTGAACGTCCTTGATGCTTCTCTTTCGACAAGCTCATGCATAGAATTTCGATATCTTGAGTTTTTAGTGTCATTCAATTATTTTGATTCTATCCAAAGAGTACCAAAAATGTCATTCTAAACAATTTTTAATTAAATTTGAAATGTCGAAATAAATGATGGCATTGTGTTAAGATATATAATAAGTTTTATTTCAAAAGTTATTTTTATCTTTCGAATAATTCTAAAAATATTCCATATATAATAAATACCAAGTAGTTAAAAAATTGTTGTTAATGATTATAATAACATATATACAAAATTATTTTCTTCTTCATATAAATTTAAGAAGAAAAGATAATTATAAAGAACACGAGGTGTTTAATGACTAACTTAAATAAATGGTTACATATGAAAGTGTTACAAAATAAAGTGCTCTAAGGTTAGAACAATATTTTCAAGATAATGATCAAAGAGTTCATTTTGATTAATTCTCAAGATAGTCTCGCGTGAGCTCCATTAATTACAAATATATTCCATATTTATGTATAATGATGATTAATAGTTGTAAAAGTTGAGAGAATATTAATATAAGAATATTAATATAAGAATATTAATATAAAAATATTAATATAAGTCAGTGCGAAAAATATAAGCTTGGTTTATTCAAGGCCTTTCTAAATTACCTTAACAGGCTATCAAATAATATAACGTGACGCATATATCGTGACACGTTATCATTCAAAGAAGATATTATTCGCAGTTCCGCCACGTACTTGATGTATTTTTGTAAAATAACGAAGATGAATGGTCCACTTTAGAGAAACTATCTATTACGTAAGTTAGTGTGACGATTTGCAATTTCGTATGAGATAATCTCAAAATGAGTCGAGAAAGCGAGAGTTTGAATACAAGTTGCTAAGCTTCAAAATCGCGCAATAATAATCCTAATATGCACGCAAACTTCTTGCGTGTATTATTATTGCGTGTATTCTACATACATGTACATACAACTGAAAAAGTATTGTAATCATCAAAGATGATTTTAATCAATTCTTTCTCAAACAATTAAACTCAGATCGTCTAATTATTTGACCGCGATTTTGTTGTTTTATAGCACTTTGCGAGATGATAATAAATGATAAATATATTGAATAATAAAAGTAGGATACATAGCTCCCACGTTTATGTTTATTTTTTCTATTACCTTGGAAAGAGATGATATCACAACCATATAAATAAATGAAGTTTTGTGATTTCTCAAATTTAATATTTGTTGCATCATGCTGGAATCGCTGGCTAAATCATACTAATATAATAATAATTAAGAAAAGTGAACGGGGTATTTTTTAAGAATTGCCTTTTTTAAATTTCATAAAACAAATATAGCAAGGATATTTTTCTTGCCAGATAAAAGAAGTAAATTTCCGAGCTTGTAACAGTGCGATAATTCGATAATTTAGCTTTGATGTGCTAATCCGAGTGGTGACAAGAGAAATAAACGAGGCAGGGGTGTCATGAAGAACGCTCTGGATAACATCGGCTAATTGAACGGGTTTCGCGAACAAGAGTGAGTTGGAGGACGCCCCACCTGGCTGCGGGAGGCGAGGCTCGCGATTCTCGATTCTTGAAGGGGCACGTATGCTCGCCTTCGTTCCCCTTCGGCTCCGTAAGACATCGGGACCTCCTTCACTGTGGTCCTCAAACGAGCCTCGCGCTCCGCCAGGTACACAACTCCTCACGCATTCGCTCGCTCGCTCGCTCGATCGCTTGCTAAGCATTTACGCACGCATGCACGCACTCATCGCATTGGCACACTCGTAAGTTCACGCAATTCATTCGCTTTGACTGCATTCTGAATTATTTTGCACGCATTAGAGAGAAAACGTTCGTTCAATTTGAAAGTTGTTAAATCGTTGAATGAATATTGATTTTATTCGTCGTCTTTCTCATATTTTGTATCTTTTTGTATCCTTGTCTATTATATTTATGCGCAACCATTTCGAACTAATCGCTTATTTGTTCTTGCAATTTGCGGTTCTTATTCGACTAACTATTTTATGCTTGTAATTTAATTTAATAATCAGCTGTTTATTACTAATATCCCTATAAGTCCTGAATTCATTCATCTCTTAATTTCTGCGGTTTCTTTGTTTGCTATTATAAAAGTTAATTGGAGATATTATTCTTTTCTACATTACGACATTACGCTACGTTAAACTTTTAGAAATGATAATCAAAACCATATGACTTGATATCACATTTATATAACAATATTTGCTGCATCTGATTTTCTCAATATTTACGGAATAAAATTTTTATTAATGTTGCTTAATTATATTTACTGTTTGCGAAATTGAATCAGCTTAATTAAAAATCAGTTTTAAACTTATATAAATGAAGCATCTCCTTTCACTCGACATTTAGAGATCAACTTTCAATTTTATTGCCAGGAATTTTAAGAATTGTGAAACATCTTTTCATTTACGCAGACTAAAAACTGAAATATAAATCAGCCAAGTGAGAAAAACATAATGAGGGTAGTCTGCACATTTTGCGGACTGTTCTTGGCCATTGCCATTGTCAATTGCAGTCCTATTGTCAAGAGAGATGCAGAAGAGCCATCCCCGGAGGATCTCAATTCAGTGAACGAAGTAAGTCTTGTATTTTATTTTTTTTTAAATGACTTATCGTCAAATATGTTATATATTTTAAACTATTGAATGTTCTTTCTAGTCGTGTGTTCTGTCTAGTCGAGAGATTTATCGGAAGATAAGACGAGTTACCTTGAATTGTCTTAGAAAGTAAATGAATGAAATTGAAAGAGAATTGCAATTATGCACATTGTTTGAATAATTTAAATGCTGAAGTACTTGTGCACAAAGAACTATTATCGATCTCTCGCGTTGAGAATTTATGATTATTATGTCGTGTCCTCAAAGGCTCTCGAGAAATTGATACATGGAATGAAAGCGCAATCAAATCTCCGACACGGAAATCACATTTCTTTGAAATATGATTGACAAGAATTTGGCAAGCGACAATATGTTGTTTTATCTTTTTCTTCCTTTTCCGTTTAAATGTAATATACCAATTGAGCGTAATACCTTCACTCGACCTAGAATGAACAGTTCCAAACATATTACTGGAAAACAAAAAGACAACTATAAAGTTTAGCGTGACCAAAGTGAAAGTAAATATCGGAAAATTTGCCAACTCAATAATTCGCGTGAACTGTTTACATAGAATGCAATAGAAGAATCAAAAGTTTCATATATGTATATATATATATATATATATATATATATATATATATATTTATATTTATGTAATACCTTTAGATTTATTCAGAGGAAAGTCTTATGCTTTTTACCTTGGTCTCTCTTTTTTTATTAAGAAAAAAAGATCGCAACTAATTTTATAAAAATTTTTGCTTAATTTATATTGATATTTTCTTAATTGTAAAAAATTGTTATGTGAAATGAAATTTACTTATCATCGTAATACGAGTTACATCGGAAAAAAAATATTTTGTGAGCGCATTAATTAATCGTGTTAATTAAACGTATTACGCGTATGTAAATGAAATAGATGAAAAACAAACAAACAATGATATATGAAAAAAAGTATAAGATAGAGAGAGACATGCTTTCAGAGAACGAGTCAAGAGTGAAAGTGGTTGGCGCTGCTTTTACGAACTTAAACGTCTGGAGACGGATGCATACGCGAATATAACGAAATTTTTGCGGCACATGATGTACATACATATACGACCATAACGAGCAACGAAGTATCACAGTTGATGACTACGCATTAATATAATCGGAATGCGATCCGCTAGAACAACAACCATAGCACGTGCCGATCTCGCTCCTCTAAAATGAAAGCAATATTGCATAATGGTTATAATTACATATGAAATTCAAGCACTAAATAATATCCTACACGTAACGTAATTGTAATATTTCTTTTTAATTTTATATTAAACAGAGTTTTAAAATCTTTGTATAAAAATCACATAATAAATCACATAAATAATAATTGTAATAATAACAATAATAATATTAATACTAATAATAATAATAATAATAATTGATATAACTAAATATAATATGAAATATATTTAATTGGTAAATAAAAGTTACAGTGCATTGACAAAAAGTTCTTGTAAGGAAATTTTGTCCTTTATAATATCTCATCTTTGATTTCTTTCTCTCTGTTATTAATTATGAATTTTATCTTCAATCTATATATATATATATATGTGTGTGTGTGTGTGTGTGTGTGTGTGTTATTCTTAGAAAATTTTTATTATTTTAAAAACTTAAAGAAATTTTATTATAACCCGTAGATCTACGTATTTGAAACCGACGATGAAGCGACCGACGGTGAAAACAAAGGTAGAGATAAAAGGAAGATTGGTCTCGTGGTTGGGATATCGAATGGCATCATGAACTTCGTATTTGGCGTAAGAATAACTTTTTGAATTAAATCTCTTTATTTTTACATGCAACAAAATTCATCAAAGTATAATTAATAATTATACAAATAATTAGAACTGTAAATTTGATATAAGATTCCGTTAAAATTAAAATCATGTAAGACATGTTTTAGATGTAATGTAAAGATATTATAGAGATATAATACATAGAGATTGCATTTTTATTCCTTTTCTTTAATAAATGCCTATTTCTTTAGAAAGCAAACTCTTTATTGGACTCGAAAATAAGAGCACTCGATGCCCTTGAAGAAGCCAACAAGGCGAAAAACGCCATTTATGGAATCGACCCTAACAAATCGGCAACGGCAGAGTTCGTCAATAAATTAGTGTCTCAGAAAATCCAAGCCGCATCAAGCAGCATAGGACCGCTTATAAACGGTGCAACGACGTTCTTCTCAGGAGCTTCATCTGGTTTGACAAACGCATTTGTCTCGAAATTCGCACCACTAAGCTCGCTTTCCGGTGGTCTTTCTGGTGGAGGTGCAGGTACGTACAAATACAAGAGAGTCTTTATTTTTTTATACCAACACTGATATAAGATATGTCTTAAAAATATGGGCAAAGTTTCCTCTAATTTTTTTTCTTCCATAAATATTTAAATAAAAATTTTTTGTAGCAGAATGAAATCACACAGATTTCTTCAGAGAAGATTATTTATAAAATATTTTATAATTATTATACGTTTTGCCATTATATATATTTTTTAAAAATTACCGTATATTTATTGTGTTTTATCAGAGTACTTAATGGTTTCACTTAAAAAATATAGGAGGTAGTGGCGGATCAGCTCCCGGATCGAATTTTATCGGCACTCTCCTGACCCAAGGGATCGGCACTTTGTCGAGTTTAAGCCAAACTAGTGGTAATTTAGGCAGTTTAAGCGGCGGTATCAGTGGAGGAGGCCAGTCCATCACTTCTGGCGCAAGCGATACGAGCTCTGGTGCGCAGGCCGGCGTTGGACTTAATATCGGAGCTTTCGGCAATTTAGCAGGGGTAGGATCGCAATGAGCTCATTTTATCCTTCTCGCTGTAAATTGTGATATTTTTTTTATTTTTATTTTCTTCAAGTCCCACACATATCGTATGTTCTGTGTTTGATATGTAATACAAGCTGTCTCTGGAGAGGGATTCTGAAATATAATATCTTCGTAAGAGAAAATATTCGCTACTTTTAATAAATTTAATATGACGATTTTTCTTTAACAAATCTCAATAAGCAGACTTGGACGATGGGCAATGTTGCTTGTACGACCATCCTTGTTTGCAAGTGATATATTAACTATAAGTGAAGATAAGTGCATGTGAAGATAAGAGCATGTATAAGTGTATGTAAATAATTTTGTATATGATTTTATATTTCTTATTAATTTTCAGTTTGTATGTGTGATTTGATTTTTAATATTTTTTTTTATTTGCCTATTTTTTTATTTTAGTTAAAATAATACGCTATGTTTAACAAAGCTGTTAATTAATGGAATTTTAATTTCCTTATAACAGTATAATTCAAATGTATTTAATGCAAATGTTCTATTTTGACGTGTTTCTCTCGTTTTATGCTTCAAGAAATACTATTGCTCCTATATCTAAACAACGTAGTTGAATAAAAATCTAATTCACGCTTTATTAAATTTCCGATTGTGCCACTAACCAACGTTGCTGATTAAGGTAACCCTCTTCTAATCTCGGAAGATATCTTTATGAGACGAGATCTTTCGACAAACCGCAAACTATGTCTGCGATTAAAATAAATCTTGTACATAAACAGTACGATTACACACCTCCGCAAACGGCTTAAAAGCGGGCGGGATAAAAGCGGGCCGATAAGGTGCGAAAATGGGATATTGGACTGCGGACTTTTTATATTGGACCGGCGAGCAACAGGGAAAGAGCTTGAAAGAAGATGATACTGATACTTTGGGAAACAGAGTGACAAACAAACATTAAACAGGACATAAAATGCATCATGGAGAAGGGACGGATAGTAATGGATTTTCGCATGGAGTATGAGCGTTCCATATAACATGGAATGTGTGGATTTTTGTTTCTAGTTGGGCCGATAATTGACAGGATCTCTCTTTCGCTCTAGAAGTCCTTCCTCCTATAGAAAGTTTATACTTAGAGCGCCTGAACAAAATATAAAAAAAGGGAAAAATCTACAAAAAAAGAAAACGTTCTCCTGACGAATCGACGCTTCCAGTTGAATCATGGGTTGCCGTAGCTAACATTACAGAAGATCTAGCATGAATCGACTTGCCATCGTGAAAGTTGTAAATAATTTAACAATAGTCTCTAAGCTCTTAGAGATAAACTAGTGGAATGTGTAAATGATGTAAATAGCGCATATAAAAATGCTCTATAACACGTAAAGCTAATAATTGATATTGATGTTGAGGATGTTGATGATGATGCTAATGTCAAAAATAAACTTTTAATTATATTTTTATCTATTACTTGTGACGAATTCATTGTAGAGCATCACAAAATCCAATATATCCTCTTTCCTTCGTTTTCTTATTATCTTTAGCTAGAATTTGTCTGTACAATAACTTTTAACTTAATAATGTTTCTCTTTTTTAACTAATTTTTTTAATATCGATAAGAAATTATGGAAATTAGAAATGTAGTATTTTTCATCTCTTGGAAACGTTGCTTATACAAGCATTTATTTTTACATAAATATCTTTTCGTAAGATCATAAATTTTTGAAATAAATATATAAAGGCTATACTAATCTTTAACCTTTAAAAATTTTCATTTTGTATGTATTTATATATTTAAATAAATATAAATAAAATATATATGTACTCGTGAAATAAAATTATAAGCACTAAATAGAATTGTAAAAGTAGTAATTCTCATAGTTCCTTTTCCTTCATATTCATCGAATCGTTACAAATCAGAAAAATTATAAGAAACGGATACACGCTCATAGATAAGGACATTCAGGTTCTATATAATTTTCCCACGTGACACTTTTTATACTGTTATTTCAAACAATGATGAAATATATACTCGAGCAATGAGAAAATTGGATAAACCTCATTTATCGTATATTTGTGTGCAGAAGGTGCCTATTACTACTACTACGGACAATACACCCATTTTTGATAGGAATAAAGTATCCTTGGATATACCATCAAGAGCATTCGGCAGTGGTTTCACCCTAGTAACTAACGTTAGCAAGGTTCTCAGCAGTATAATCTTAGTGAGTACCGCATATGTTAATTAAAAGGCAATGCATAGTAAAATATACGATGCTAATGTAATTTCCGTTGACATAAAACTCTAATCACACATTTTGTAATATTATGTTTTTTAATTCATTCAGTCGCGTACAAATGATTAATATATTCGAATTACTACATTCTTACTTACATTCACTTGGAATATGTAAATAGAGATATGAAAGAAATCTTCGATCCGCTTTAGAGATAGAAGCGGAAAATATTAACTTCTATGCATACAAACATTTATTGGTCTCTTGTCCTTAATAGTTGAATCATTCACACATTTCAGAACTCGGCACGCCGAACACAGACGTTCCTAGAGATCTTCAAGCCGTTGTTCCGCGGTTCTTTCGCTATAAAAGGTTTACCATCGGATAACTTGCATTAAGGCATCTCATTTCCATATCTGTAGAGATGATTATACTACGATTTAATTGCTCAATAACTATTGTTTCATCAAGAAACATTAAACAAGTTCCAATCACATATTTTGTCGATAAATACCGTTGATTAGAATTTGTTGAGTCTACTTCATAGTCTTTGATAATAAAAGATTTTAAATCTTATTTAGGAGTTGACAATACAATTAAAATATCGTCTACGTCAATATGATTAAAATATATTCTTGATAGAATATTTTTTCTGCTGTCATATTGCACAATTATTACTTATGACGCTATATTTTTGTCTCATTTTTTATCTACTACTCTTCTACAATCATTTATTTACTTAAATCTTTTTATATGACTCAGAAATTGGTGTCGTAAGTAATAGACAAATTTTTAATGACTAAAAATTTATTATTTTGTTGATGAAATAAATATTTATACATATATTAATTATTAATAAGTAATTAAAGTTAATTATCAATAAGCAAAGAATTATTTTTGAAACAATTTAGTTTGTAATTAATTAAGTAGCATGTAATAATAAAATTTAAAATACGATAAAATATTGAAAATATTGAAAAAAGTAAAAAAAGAGCGATAATCAAACTAGTTTACATACTATAAAATTAATCTTATGGAATTATATTTGCAGTCGTGAAGAATTTCAAAAAAATTTCTCAATATGCATAAATTTGTAACCTAATACATTTTGCCATAATTTAATAATTGCATAAATAAAAAATAGATGAGATTGTTTTATCCCATTTGACATATTGCTTAAGACACCTATTTATTTTTGTAGCAAAATAGAAATCTCATATTTATCAAAACCGGTTTATTATGTAATCAGCAAATCGTAAAGAAATTCTGTGTTAATGATAAGCATCCGATTGCCCGATAGTACTCAATGATTTATTACTCGCATATACATGCTATTATTATACAAAATCAAACGGTCAGGATGTCTCATCCAGCAATATAGAGAACTTGACCATGTAATGCTTTGCCATATGTAACGAGGACACTCCTAAAGAGCAGATGCAACATCTTGCGAAAATTTCGCTCCTCATTCCACTTTAAATTATAATTTTCTCCTAAAAATAAAATATGTATTATATTAAATATCTCCATTCGAATCCAACTTTTACATCTTGATAACATCTTATTATACGGAGAAATTAATTACTAGATGCGCACCAATAACATCAGAGAAGGAAACATGTGTTTGATGATTCGTTCCGTCCTAAAAACTTTACGCATTTCTATTGATTTTACCATTTTAAGCCTATTCCGGTGACGTTAGATCAAAAATACCAGAAAAAGCCATTATTTTGCATGACTTTTAGATCAACGACTTCTTGTATGATTTTCTTTTTGAATATGTCAATGAGTGTCATGTAACATAATGCAAGAATGAACCGCGATGTGCAAAGTTCGAGAAAGAATTGCAACAGACAATGTAACGCATGCTGAAAAGAAAATCGATGAAAAAAGTGCAAAAAAAGTCTGACAAATGAGCTATAACAGCAATGACGCATTTATATAATCCATGCGATTTGAATAAAGATCATTAATAGACGTTTGTAAAAAGCATCGATTAACATAACATAACATAATTAATTTGCGAAATGTTCTGCAAAAAAATTGTATGTGATATAGAGATTCATTTCAATTTAATTTTAGTTCTTTAAGTTTTATATCTGTGACTTTTGTTTTATACGACATTCCTGAACAAGAGAGACAGATAGAAAGAGAAAGGGAAAAATAAAAAAAATTATATAAGATAAAATTCTCTTACGCATAATGCGAATACCTGTATAATTTTTATCTATTACATGTTATATTATTTTTGTATAGACATAATTTCAAATAATAAACATAAATAGGATAAAATTAAAGAAAATAAAATAGAAGATAAATGATATTGTTTGACACAATTACCATAAACCGACTGGCATTTGCATTAAGAAAACATATCATAACATATGATAGTATCGGATATTTTTTTCGGATATTGTATATAATTTGTATATAATTTTCAAAATAATAACATTAAAAGCGCGTAGTATCAAAAAACTTCTATTTGTTCAATAACGGAACTGCATAGAATTTTCTACAATTTGTTCCGTTTATTACCGGAATATGTAAGGTATGTCGTAAAAATGTTGACGACCTTCGAGGCTAATTCTCGAGGTATCGGGCAGTGGAGGAAACTCATCTCGTTAGTTTGGGTTCTGCCGTCCAACAAGATGTACTTGTTTTCACAACTTTATCCGCCGCGCTCATCAATGTAGATTCGCGACAAGTTGTAATATATAAATTGCAAACACGGACATTTTAGAGTGAAGCATAATAGTGCACAACAGTATAAAGCTTAATAGTGGGCGAACTAACAATTTGCTGTCAGAGATTATTCTTATTTAATAGGAATAATATAAGATAAGAAGGTATGATAATCACTGTTTTAATTATATTCAATTTATCTTTTATCTGCAATAAATATCAAATTTAAATATCTAAATTGAATATACAATTCCTATATAATATTATATTAGTTGCATTGATTTAAATAATTTTCTGTGCTGTGTGTTTATTTTCATATTACAAAAAATATTGTTTTATTTTCTCGTGAAATGATAACAAGTTGGGATTGGATCAATTCAGTTTATCATTTAATATCACGCAATATATAAATATCATGTTTGCATATCTAATTGCATACCATATTATATTATATTATTTTTTATCTTCTTACAATCTGACCTCAAAATAAAATCGTTTAACTTATATTGAAAAATTTATATTTTTGAATTTACTTAAAATTATATAAATTTATATTCAAAAACATTTTAAAATTTAGTTACTTTTTAATAAAACTTTGATAAGTTCGACGAAAAAAAGTAAAATAATGAAAAAGTCTAATAATTTGCTCAAATAATAAACTCATTTGCAACAATTGTTTAGCATTATGTCATATGTCTGGAGAAAAATAATCATGGTAGTATAACAAAATAGCAATAATCTTATATAATGTTTTATTTTTTGTAGTCTTTATAATAAATTGAGATTTCTATAATAAACGTAAGAGTAAGATAAGAATTAAATATCAAAAAACTTTCCGATAAAAAAATGGACTTCTTACAGATATATATTTACAGATATATATTTAAAAATTAAAAATTAAAAAAAAAGTCAATGCTTTTTAGAAATTTAAACATTATCTATTCTGGAACTAGTTTCTTCTAGTTGTTTTAGAAAAATATGAGATGTTTTTTATAATAATGTCAGATTTAGAATAAAATTTTAATTTTAAAATCTTTTTAATCTATAAATATAATTATCATATTATATTATGTGAAAGATCTTTAATTAATGCTCCACTATCTATTATTAAGGTAAGGTGTTCTGAATTCAGCATGTTCGGTCAAGGCTTTAGAGAAGTCTTTAACACTTAGACATACTTTTGTACGAAAAAAAGTTAACCTAAATAACAGAATTTTCTATATCTTGTCTACAAATGTACAATTATTGATTATAATTGACTACGATAATTTTCGAAAATTTGCTTTCCTTTTCTAATCAGCATCTTAGCATTGTAGATAAATTTAAATTATTTTAAATTATTATTTCAAGTTTAATTAATTAAAATTAAACATTTAATAATTGATTCCCGGAGAAATCCTTCTTGCAAATAATTTTAATGCATTCAAGAAGAAGTATAAATATATTTTTAAATTCAATCTTGCTTTGTTTTACTTTACAATTATTTTACAGTTATTTTAAAATTAATGTAATGCATTAAATATAATGCTAATAGGTAAGTAATAAATGTACAGGTAATAAAACAATAAAATAGAAGATATAATGAAATAATAGAGATAATAAAATCTCGTAGACAGGTATATATGTAATAGATAAGTATTGATATAGTAGACATGTGCCATTAGGTAAGTATTGACGTGCGAGGACACGCTTATTACGTAAGGCAAGTGTATACAAAAAGATGTATGTTACATACATAATCACGTAAAGTTCCACCTATATTTTATCAAAGAAAATTTTGCAACATCGCGTAATGAAACTAATATTTAACATTCACATCAAATATTCACTAAATATTATTATTTTTGCATCAAATATTACTGTAATATATTTAATTAAATATTAAATATAACTGTTTAATATTTCTTGATTGCTATTATTGTTATTTTTTTATACCATAAATATGTCTCAGGAATCTATTATTATTATTATTATGAGTTGAAATTAAAAAAAATTTTGGTAACGGTCTTTATAATAGAGAAACTTTTCGCAGATCGATGCAAGTGGAGCATTTCAATGCAAACTAATACGTGAGTTTCTTATTTAAGCACCTTTCACAATAAGATAATTAGCACTTGGTAACCGGAGCGTGTCATGTCCAACGAAGCCGGTTCCGAAAATGATAGTGAAAATAAAATATAATAATATGACACTGAACTTTTAATTAACGTACTACTTTTAATATCATTTGATTTTTTTAAAATCTCACTTGATAACAATTTTTTTATCTTTCAATTGTTCAGTCACATAAATATTGTACTAAAAATTTAAAAAACGAACAAGGAATTAGCGGCATCGCTATTTTATTTACGGTATAATTTACGCAACTGCAGTTAGATTTATACTGATGATTATAACAGAACTGATCTCGATTACGTGTGTGATTACGAAGAGTGAAAGTGAAAGATGGAAGTTATGTACTGCAGTCCACGTGGATCTGAGCCTCGAGCAGGTTTTCGAAGACACGAGCGGTTAAGTACCGCGGCCGTCGATGTCCGTGCAAGATGAAGTCCGAATCTAATGATTACTTATGAGAATTTTTAATGGCCTACTTACTATTGTGCACCTGTGTCCGAAAGAGAATACAAATTGTGCTTCATATGTGTCAAATAAGAAATGATTGGAAATGATGATTGTGTTGACATTTAGCGTGTTCGCGACTTTAATTTTAATCTCAAATTCTTAATCAATCTAACTTACGGAAGCAATGACGAAATAAGAATAACTTTGAACGAAGAACAGTTTCTCGCGAATTAAATTTTGAAAAGATAAATAGATAACAAAATCATCAGTTAATTTTAAGTAAATTTATTTCAATATCAATTTTCATTTTTAATTTTAAGTATGTTAATCATTCAGTTAATTTTATGTAAATTTATTCAATATCAATTTTTATTTTTCGGATATTTCATATTGAGTTTTATTATACATAATATATAATCCTAAAAATAAGAAAGTTAATGGCATTTCTTAACATTTTTGTTGAAGGCCATAAATTTATCAGAAAAAATCAACAAAATTAAGTTTGCAAATTGTGTATAAAACTCTGCATATTTTTAATTATTCTTAGAATTTTAATATTACTTTTAAATAGCATAAAAGGAATCTCCTTCCTAAACAAGAAAATTGTATGCAAAAGGAGAGTGAAACTCATTGTATTAGAAAAGAGTTCGCTACACCTTGATTCTGTGATAAATAAGGCCCACGTGCTCCGTTTAAATCACACCACGTACGCGTGTATTTTCGCAATCAGTGGAGATCTTTGTGTTTGTTGATTTATTTCGCAGAAGGAGAAAGTTTCATTTGCCATATTATAGATTTAGAAGCTTGTGACGTCTGCGATTTAAAATACTGCAGCTCGGTATCACTTCAAATTGTGCCTTGTGACACAATCAGCCAACATTTAAAATAATCATACTGTCAGCGGTCGACATTAAATGTCATGTAGTTGCAAGACTCAAAACAATTTTGTGCCGGTATTTCTTAACGAGTGGATTGCAATATTTAAATATTCAAATACATATGCAGCTATAATGCTCGAATACCTTATATGTTTAGCAACTCTCAGTTATTGAAATATCTATTTGCAAAACGACGAGCACTACAGGAGGCTTAAATTTTGGATGGTGTTGCGACACGCCGGACATTCACCAGACTCCGTTATTTCGCAAGATGTTCAATAAGGTCGGCCGTTAATTCGGTGCACGTATTGTACGTTCGCGTCATGTACAGCAAGGTGGTCGAAATGGCTCGTCGAAATTCCCGAACGATCCTTGGGAAGGTAAATCGCCGACGTCGCCATAATCGATTGCGGTAGTTATGCTTGGCCGGCAGAGGAAGTCATCGACCAGTCGCATAATGCGACTGTATTAGGTCGAAAGGAGGCAATTTTCCGAACGATTGTGCGTGAACGAGTCATAGGAACGTTTTATCGTCAGTGAGTGACGCATATATCTGTCAGTGGAAAAGGCTTCTCGAGTTGAGACAACTTGTGTAAAAATTTAATATAAAGTTTGTGAAAGAATTTGATTGTGTGTTCGAGAAAGTTTGAGGATGTCGAATAATTTTTGAAGCAATGTGCACGCGCTTGAAGAAAAGGAACTTAGTATGTGTCTTTGGATTTAAAAGCCTTTAAAGTAAGTCTATCTAAATATCTATACAAACCAGGAACAGAATATAATTGAATAAATTATAAAAAAAAAGAACTCGGATATATACTCGTATAATTCCTTTATTTATATAAATTAGAAATTGTTATAAATGCTGATTAAATTATAACTACTGACTATGCTATGAAAGTATTATTGGAAAATATTGTGAAAATTATATAATTGATTTATAAATAATAGATTGTAACAAAATTATAAGAATCTATCAAATCACGATTGTTGATTTTCTTATCGTGCTTCGTAAACTTTCCTTATTTTATTAAATGAATATCGACTTATATAATAACCGCTGATTCTTTTCCGTGCATCCCAGTCATCGTCCGACTCTCACTGCGCGATGTTTCTTCGGTCTCGTGAGTTGCAGTTTTATAACAACGCAATTTTTACTTCTGTTATGACATTGTTTACATAGTATATGTAACACATTATTTTGTATTATGTTAAATTAGAGTGTGTGAGTTAGAGTGAAGATGATTTTTTATACTATTATTTCTTCTCTTTCCTTCTCTCTCCCTCCCTCTCTCTCTCTCTCTCTCTCTCTCTCTATATATATATATATATATATATATATATATATATATATATATATACATATATATACATAACTATTTAAAATATTTTGATATTTTTATTCCGAATTTTCTTGATTATAAATTCATAGATCTTGATTTCTATTTTAATGATTAATAAATCCGTTAATTTCTTTTGCAACATACAATTAATCTGACGTGTCCTTAATCTTATGAATATTTTCTTTCAGATGTACATATCATCAATCAATACTTTTACAGCCTGTTGGTTGCTTCTTTACTCGATTAAACCACTTTACAGCGAAGCTAAGAAGTCTCACATCGGATCTTATGAAATCAATACAATATATCAGTCCGAGCCGGTTCTTCTTGAAAAACAAGTTCAGTCTAATGTCTCAAAACTTCCACAGTACATTTATCGTAATTATCAATCTAATTCAATGCAATCTGAGTTATCTTCGAAAGACATACATCATGAAACCTACGTAAAAGAAAATGTGGCAAAATCTATGTCGGAATATCAGGTAAGAAAAAAATACAAACTACATATAATTATTTAGGAACTCAATATTGCAAACCGAGAAACTTTTTTAAAAGAAAGTGCTTTTTTGTAGTTGGGTTATGAGGAGACCGGAAAAAAGAACGAGGAGATAATGCTGAAGATGGAAGCATTGGAGAAACTGTTGTCCGAAGATACTGACAGACATGATGTCGAGTCAAAGAACACTGTCGAAGATAGCATCATCGCGGAAAGCATTCCTGAAGAAACCAAAAGGGTCGTTAGACAAGTTCGTAGACATCGGCCAGGATTCTTCTATACCTTAGCGAGACTTGCTTTCGAAGTACGAACAACACAACAAGTATCAAAATCGAAGCTTGTCACAAATATATAATATAATATAATATAATATATTAAATAATTTCAAAATCAAAGAATCAAAGAAAATATAAAGATCCAATATAGTATAGAAAATGTTAAATATAGAGAATAATCATTTTTCTGTACAAACTTCGGGTCATTTCTGGATATAATTCTTTCTACAAAGAACGAAAACAATTTTTACCTCTATTACGTTATTTAAGTCGAACGGAAAAATGGAAATTTCGAAACATTTGATTAATGTTCTACTTTATTTCAGACATTCAACGACACGCGATCGGCGATTCAACAAATTAGCAACATTATCGGCGAAAATCTCGAACCGGATACAACCGCGCAACCGCCAATAGTCAGGAGTAATCCATTGCAAGTACATAATGCGACGACAGTTGCTACTACTTCACTATCGAATGATCAAAATAATTTGTCCAGCAACGAGGCAAATGTTAATGTAACGACAGTTAATGTGACGACGACAACCACGATGACAACTGAAGCACCTTTCAGATTCACGCGAACTGGACTGCAAGATCTAATAAGCAGAAATTTGCGTGGATTAGTGAGACTCTTCAATATCGAGTGGCAGGACGCTCTGAATGTGAGTTTTTATCACATTTATTTTTTTATTAATTCTGGATATATTTATCAAATTATTGTTTAATTATTCTATTATAAACGTATAAATTTTCTTATTTTTCAGTAATAAATTTTCTTATTTTTCAGCAATCAGATGTATCTGTCAGAGAGTTTCAAAGAAATCTCGGAAATCAAATAGGCACTTTTCTGCAAGATAATCCAAACGCTTTTTCAAACTAACGAAGACTATAAAAAGAAGAACAAAATAAATGATGGCGATAAAAATATTATAAACAAGAAGTTGTATATATATCTTGTACATAATATAGTGACAGATTTATGACAAACAATTCCATAATTTAGCCAAAGATTACAGTGTTATCTATAAATTATAAATAATATTTAAATTTGTGATGTTGAATGCATTGTTGAATATTTATGCAATAATCCAATTTTTTTATTAAAAAAAAAACAGATATATATAGGCGGAAAAATGACTATTTCTTTGTTCAATTTGATTACACATTTTATTAAATTTATCAATTAGATATATATAGTATAATTACAATCTTTTATTTTATCACTCAAATAAATCGTGCATATTCCGGCTGTTAAGCGTGCCAAAGTAGCCACTGCCTGTTACTTTCGATTCTGTTTTGCCATCTCTCAAAGTATTCGAAATGAATAACACGTCAAATTACAACTGATATCAAATGACGTCGAAATTCAGGCTGAAAGGACCCGATTTTGCGGTTGCATCACGAGTGAACCATCATCGTCTTATATATGTCTGCGGTATATCAACTTACGTAATTATTGCGACTGCTAACCCACGCCAAAGTTTTACGAGCGTAAGATAAAGAAAGGAAAAAGCGAATAGTTTATTCGAATAATCGGCCGGCGCAAAAAGAGGACGAAAAGATCCGGGGGACACATATGGCACATGCAATAAGTAGAAAGCAGCTTCTTTTTCGTCAGAGGAAATCATGAAATCCTTAAGCCCGATTGGTCGACACCTTGTGTGGGATCTTGTGGCAGCCCTTATAGATCGGCAAAACGGATCCACGATTCAATCGTCGACTTGTGTTGAAACTAGCTGGAGCCAGTCATAAACACGTAATTTGCTGTGAGAGCAACATCGAAAGGATGTTTTGGCGCTGCGGGTTTTTCAACTTTCTTCTTCTATTTGGCAATGTTGCGTACGGCGTAAGTTACTTATTAATGGATAAATTAAAAATCTAAATGCTAAAAATTTGAGTTATTTGTTTAAAAGATTAAAAATAAGCGTAAAACATTTTATACTATTTAAATTTCACAAATAGCATTTAATTTTTCGTATAATGAAGTTTCAATAACCATGAAAATATTTATATTATTTTTCTTATAATAAGATATTATTGTTTCAAATATTATTATTTTAACTTATATTTATTTTCTGGTATGACAGATTCGAAATTGAAATTTTATTTATTTAAAATTGTTCAAAGAAGCTTTCTACTTGTGATAATTTTAATTTTATTCTGCTCTTGAGGGCGGAAATAAAAATTGCAGTAATGCGAATTCATCTTTCTAATAATTGACTATAATTATTCGACACTTTTAATTCGCAAAAAGTGAAAGCTGCGATAAAGACTAGCTATCAGATCCGCATTTACGCGTGCAACGACCTATGTAAACCTACATACACTCGGATGCAATGTCTGATGATAGATTAAAGTGCGCGTAGGTCGTATTTACCATATTTATCTCGAAAAAGAAATTTCCATGCAAATTTCCAAGCGTAATTTCCTCTTTTTAAACGCGAGAGAAAAATGATATGTCGGAAGTATTTTTACGCTATCGCACAAGAAAATGAAATTTATTTCCTTCTTTATGTGCCTCAGGAAGTCTCGAAAAGCAGAGTACGACGCCAAAATCCACCCGCACAAAATGGTGAACTGATAGATAACATCTTTAATGTAAGCATATCGCGATATAAAATTTATCCGCTAAATATTAATCGATTAAAATCAATTATTGAATATAAAAAATGTTAAACAGGGAAAAGAATTGTAAGAACTTTTTTTACGGAAAATGCTTTGATAATTTATATTTTTTATAAAAAAAAAAGAAAAAAAATTTGCAATTATCGAATCTCAATGCATATATATAAATCGTCACAATTAAAAGAAAATTGTGCTTTGCAGATACCTATCACAGCGATCAGACAAACCGCCGCCGCCGCTCAAGTCTTTTCGCCGGAGAATACACAGACAATCGACAACATTGTTAAAGTCATCCAGAATTATTCACATTTATAACCAAGTGTATTTAATTATCTTTTATAATTAATAAAATTATTTACAGATTCCCATTTCGACTCTAGAAGCTGTCGGCACGCTCGTAAAAACTTCAACGGAGCAAAGACAAAACCAGGAAAGAATTCGAAATCGTCAAGAGAAGAGAGAACGATTGATGGCCATAAAGGAGCAGAAGAGGAAGCGAAAGCAGGAAATTCAGGACCAGCAATTGCAACAGACGAGAATTGTTAGACATTACCAGAAGGATCCACTTGGATTAAACGCGTGGAGCGATCTTCTGTTTGGGCATCACTCTAGATTAGGTGGCATTCGCAGGCTTCATGGGGGCTTACATGGCCACGGAATTCTCGGCAGTCACGGTGACTATTCTTACTGATTTTTTTTTGACAATAAAAAAATGGGAAGCACATTATTATTGCAATGTATTTAATCAAGTGAGATGTAAAATATATTGTTTTACTGTTTGAAGGTGGACTTTTGGGAAACCGTCCACAACATACCTACGAGGTCCATGAGGATGTTAATGAAGATACTTCTTTTTCCTGGCACGGGCTGACCGCTGGATTCGGTAGTTTCCATGGAACTAGACCTTCCAGTACTGCTATCAAAATCGAGAATAAAATTGCTCCTCAAGAAAAGAGGCAAAACTCTCCCAAATATCCGAGCTTTGACATAAATTCCCAGAATAAAATCACGAAGATTAGAAATAAGCTGATACATGAATATGACGATGACTCGTCAAAAATAGAAAATAAAATTGCACCGAAAATAGAAAATAAAATTGCACCGAATATAGAAAATAAAATTGCACCAAGAAACGGAAAAATAACATTTGTGCGATAATAATGTAAATATAGAATAATATTAGATATATATTCTTAAATTTTGATAATCATTTTTGTTATTTTTATGTCACTTGCAAATTTTATATCTTGCGTTTATCGTACGTATTATTCTAAAAGTATACAATTTCATTAAGTTTATTAAATTAATATAAAATATTTATAATAATATAATAATATAATAATAATAATTGTAACATTTTGCACAAATAAATATTTTTTACATTAATTAATATATGAAACTTGCACATGTATATTATATTTATAAATATTTCTTCTTTGCTTTTGACTTTATATTTTGTTTAAATTGATGAAAATGTAAAGTTTGCTATAATTTCTTGTAAAAAATGTATTTTATTGATGATTCTTGAATTTCCAAGATTTATTTAATTTTATTTCTATTGATAAAAACAGTATAAAGAAATAGTTATAGGAAATAACAATTGATTCATCATAATTAAAATGAATTGTACACCGCATGACTTAATAATTCAAAGATTCATATATGACATCACACACAGAAACATAAACTCATTTTACTTACAATCGGACGACACTTAAAGTGAATATGATGAATATAAAGGAGATATGCATTATAATTTCCGGTAATCAAACAATCGTGAGTATTTCTCTTTGAAATTTTGAGATAAAAATAAATATACTTTAGATAGTATAATGTAATATGCTTTTAGCGTATATACACTAATGCAATTTTCATTTTAATTCTAGTTATTTGTTGCGAAGAAATAATGATTAAAGACCTTAATTAATGTAAGCACGAAATTTTACGAGGAAATAGTCAGTAAAAGATCATATCTTGACCTTCGCGAAACATGCTTTATTTTGTTTTTATATTATAATGTAAAACTCAGGCGTCATATGTATTTATGTTTATTGAACATCGCAGTTTCTTTTAAATTTAACTTTTAGATTTATCTATTTTTTAAAATATATATATATATATATATATATATATATATATATATCATTATAAATCATATATTATATAAATTTTATTTTTTATCGTATAAATTTTAAATTTATAAAAGTACAGCAAATTCTATTATATATTTATTATCACAAGAAATGTAAAAGACAAGTATATAAAATTAAATGTAACGCACACTAAAAAGGCGCGTAATAAAATTAAATATAATTTATTTTATTGCCTTATCTTTTAAAGAATTGTAATACAAAAGAATCGTATTAAAATAATAATATAATCAAAATTATAAATAAAAATAAAAATGTTTAAATATACCGCCATGTTAATAACGGAAATTCAAACAAATAATCAAATGAGATAGCAATAAATTGACCTTTCGCATGACGTTGTAACTTTATATAATCCTACTTGATAGTCTCGTCAGTCTTTTACAAATCATGGAACTGTCACGTTCGCAGTTTATTTAACAGATATTATTATAGTATAATTTTCCGTAATTTTAAAATCGACATATATTTTTATCAAAAATACAGTGAAGAATAAAAATTTTAAGGTAATATACCTTATCAGTAGACATGAATTATATATGGTCTGAATATTGTGATTTTAAACCAAATTTTAAATAACGTTAATCACAATATACAAATAATTTTTCCAATTAAACTTTCCATTAAAAGGTACCATTGATTATATTAAATTATTGTAAATATTCATTTTTGCTATCGATATTCTATTAATATTCATATTATCATCTTATCGATTGCATTTATATTTTATTATGTTAAGGCTATTGAACATAGTTTACAGCTTACATTTTAGCTTGATTGAATGAATTAGAATATTCTCTTCAATTCTGCATTATAATAGCGGTTCTCTTTCTGGTATTATGCATGGCCGATCAAAGTGCAATCAAATTTTTTAAAATACAAAAACAATAAAAGAAAAATAATAAAAGAGAGAACGTATATAAAGTTTATTAAATTATCTTTCTAAATTATTCTAAATTAATTTTTGCTAATAATAGTGAACAGAATTTCTTTTTTTATCCCAACATAAAAATTATTAGAAAACGAAATTTTTCCAGCATAAAATTATTTTTCGTTTTAAAGAGTATATTCTGAACATACGATGATTTTTCTTCGAACTACACGATTAATCATATCAACTTGCACAACAAAGTCACTAATAATTTTCTCTAAATCGTTTTTATTAATAGTTCAAGGAATAAATCCGTTGGACTCTGTACCATAAAGCCTAGTTGAGCGAACAGAGCGAATTTACCATACGAATGATACGGATCTCGTTGAGCTTTCCCCTTCCAGCAGCAGGTGAGTAAGAGATGCCCTCCGGTCAGGCCGAGAAATGACTACTACCTACCTGCCTACTAGCCTCGATCCTTCGTCAGTGAACGCTAAGATGTCGTTCGGCAAGGTAGCTAACTGCTTGCTTATCGCTTTCGTAGCTCTAGCTAATGGAATGCCGCAGAACCAGATTACGGCAACTACAGAATCACCTGAATCAGTGAGTAGAGAAGATGTTTTAATTTAATCGTTTATCAGCATCAATTATAAAAAGCTTATTTATAGATTTTTCTATTTAATGAAAGAAACATGAGTGCATATATTTAGAATGTAGAATGAAAAATAGAAAACAACATTTATATATCAGTTATGTAAAGATCTACAATTTTATATAACCAAATGTAATTTGGTTTTGATTAATTAGTTACGAGATTATATAAAAAATAGAAATTTTTGATACTGAGATATAGGATAGTACAATAATGTGTATGACGAGACAAGAAAGATATCATTATATCATGCGCATTGATAGTTGTACATGATGAAATGAGATGTTGCTTTTCACGGAATCTGTTACTTATTGCATCCAAATCGAACAATTACATGAAATATGCATACATTACTAGATGGCAAAATCAAATACATCGAACATTACAAAAAAAAAAACAACGCAACGCTTAAATTAACTCTCGATTAACATTTTTATATGTCTCTAGTATATAATATAAATAAAAACGATAATAATTTTTGCGCTATTATTTATGTTAAATATTTAATGAACAGCGCGTGGATGTGATATGATTCATTATAATTCAGCTTTTTTATTCCCAATAATTGCGAAAATGATTGTATTCTGCGTATCGAATGTAGCTTTAACGTCATCATAAATTATTACGATTATAAAGAAATGAAACAAAAATTATGATGAAAAAAGACGAAATTGATCAATTACTCTTTGATTGTGAGAGAAAAAATATCTTAGAAAAAGTTACATTTAATCTGGTTAGATAATCAGGTAGTCGTGTAGTCAGAGAAAGGATCATGGAAATGTCAGAAGGTTTGCATAAAGCTGAATCATCATTCATCGATATCGTTTAATTGTCTCAATTATAAAAAATAAAGATACACATATTATTTCGAATTTATAACAATCTGACAATTAATTGTCAGAGCAGAAATACGCGATATGAAGGTTTATTAAAACGGCTGCTAAGAAACATCTGCTATAAACAAGAGAATTATGTTCTTTATTTATAGCTCTGAAGACACAAAGTGAGATAACTTAAAGATCATGAGGAAGCTCAACAGTTCAGAATTATGCAGTAATAAAAATAATGAAAAAAATACGAAGTTTAAGTTTATATAATAATAGCACTTATCGCAAATTTTCTGTTTAATGGCGATATCGCATATGTTATTAAAAATGTTTGAATATTTTTCTTAAAAAATAGCTAAAATAATTGTCGTATTTTTTATCTAATTATATTTTTAATCTTGTTATTTTTTATCTTTCTATTTGTTATTTTTTATTTTTCTCATTTTGAAATAGTTTTTATGTCATTAAAAGGAAGTATAATATATTTATTTTTTTTAAGTTAATATTGTTATATATTTTAACGCGTAGATAATTCGTAAGCAGTATTAATATTTTTGCGTATCGTTTTTTTAAATCTATTTACGCAATATCTAGCGTGAAAATATTTGATGAAAATTAGTGCAACGTCACGGTAGGTAGAACTTAGCCGGAAAGTCAATAATGAATAAAACACTTACGTGCACATTTCTGCAAAGAATTAGCCTTTTTATGCCTTGTGGTAGAGAAGAGACAGGAAACGTAATTATAATGTGTCATCTGCAATCTAAATATGGAATATCAGATAACATTGTGAGGCAAACTTGTACAAATTGTGCAAGAGAGAGAAAGAGAAATATTTCTATTTAAGATTACATAAAATAATCCATCTTGCTCTAATATATTCTCAGTTCTGAAAAGAGATTCAATTGTCACTGCATAGCTCCCGTTTCTCCAATTTACTAACGGAGGAATCCGGGTGAACTTTGGAGGCTATCATGCTCAAGCTGGACTCGGCGGGGTTCTCGGAGAAGGGACAGGGGGTGGACTTCACGCGAGCGCGGGAACTCCGTGGGGTGCGTTCGCGGGTGCGGGATTAGGTGGCCAATTAGGCAGAGAAAATCTCGGTTAGTATTCTTAAAAATAAAAAAAAATATATTACATTAATATTAAAGAAAGAGAGAGAGAGATGCATTCTTATGTTTGTTTATTACAAATAAAATTAAAGACAAGATATCTAATACATATTTGAAAAGATATTACACAAGACAGCTTTTGTCTTCCGATATAAACTCAATCAAGTCTTCATCGAAGGCATAAATATCAAAGAAACGAGTAAAAGCGAGATGTATAATATTTTCAGGCGGCGGTTTGTACGCTCGTGCTGGACTCGGTCGTGGAAGACCGGAAGCTGCGGCCGGTCTCGGTGGAAGATTGGATGGACGATCGTTGAACCCGATCTCCGGTGGTCTTTACGCAGGCGCGACACCGGGTGGTCCAGGAGTCGGTGTGCAACTTGGCGGAGGAATCGACGGAGCTGCAGCCGGTAGCACGGTCGACGAAGCTAAGGCGGGTGCATCCGGTGCGGGAGAGGCTAATGCAACAGCGGATGCAGCTACAAGCGTAACGAAGCCGAGCAAAGGCCACACGAACATACAGATCATACGTTCGAGAGCTCAGAAGGAGAGAGACGAACAGAAAGAGGTTTCGATCGATATGTTTTCTCTTGCGTTGGTCTTTTATTTATAAGCGAAAGATAAACAACACATATTATAATTTTCTAGGTTTCGAATACGATATCGAAACGAGATATCGAGAAACGCGAGGATGTTCATTGATATTCTCTAACACGCCTTCTTAAAATAATAATCGTAGTTTCGTAATTAGTATCTTAATAACTGCATAACCGTATTTAAATCCGGTAGTATGATTTATGGGATAACTCTTTTTTAACAATTATTTTTGTATAAATACATTCGTATTGTGGGATATATCATCTTTAAAATAAATCTATCGAATGCAGAAGGTGGTGGCGCTTGCAGCTGCCGCGTTGCCAACTAACGTGTCTGCAGATGGAAAGGTCGAGTCGCCAAACAAAGAGGTAATAAAAGCAGAAAAATTATCGAGCAATTACGAAATGATTGACAAATTATTATAAACGTCTTTCTCTTCTTATGCGCAACAGATACGTGCAGTCAAAGTCGTTGCTGTGCAACCTCCTGCAGCGGAAGTTGGTGTAGTCGGATCGATTAGTCTGTTTGGAGCGGCGCCAGTCGTGAAATCCGTCGAAAAAGACATTGTGGTCTCTGCACCTGTTGCACCTGTACAAGACACAATTAAGACGGTTACAACAGGAGGTGAGCAATCATTGTATAATTTATGAATGTTACTTATTAATGTTACATACTTGAGCGTTATTTTATGAAACATTTCTTTCCTTGACTAGACGTGAGCCCAACCGTAGTTGTTTCAAAGCCTGTATATCCGCGCTGGCATTTCAGAAAGAGGTTCTGGACCGTTCCTAGGAAAGTAGTCTACGTCGCTCCACCGGCGACAGCTGATTCTCAAGGCTCACCTTCGGATATGGTCGGTGAACTCTTCGCCAATTCGGTGGGAGATAGTGGCGGTACAGTTGCTGTGAGCAAAGTTTATAGCGGATCCTTATTCGATGACATCTTCAACGTAAGTTAATGCCCCGTATAATCATCTCGTAAGCGTTGCATCATGCACAAGAATTTACGGAGTTTCTAATGAGCTACTACTTTCTCTTCAGATTCCAATTTCTACGCTGTCCGCTGTGAATCAATTACTGAGAAACAACGTCGGCTGAGATTTCGCATTCTTATATAAGTTTATATTTGAAAATAGTCGTGCAATATATGAAATTCACGAGCGAGGATCGTGAGCCACGTTTTTTTCGCAAGGTCCTCCGAATATATTTAGCGTTCTCGTATATTCAGCCACTTTCGTGTTTATTCCAGCCTATTTACGAATGACAGGCACATACGTGATATCCATCCTGCGATTTCCTGCACGTGATCAGATTGTAATTCCGTCTAGTAATTTAACATACGATAGTATTTCTTTGTTTCAAGCTGCGAGTCATTTTAATAAGACACATTAATAAATTTTTATACGAGAAAAGGAATTTGCCTGACACGAATTATTTATGTTCTCCTGAATTTAATTTTATCATTTTACGACTTATATTACTCATGCGTATATATGATATGTGTAAACATCGTACGATACAAAATTCAAGGATATTTCATCAAGAATGAATATTTACTTTGCTTCTTACTTTGCCTTATTGTTAGTATGGATCTCATAAAACCACAAATGATCGTTATAAAACGTATTAACTACAATCGCATTATTATATTTAAGCAATTAAAAGATATATAATGCGATTATTAAAAAAATAATAAGGAACGATAATAATATAAAACTGGCAGAGATGTAAAGAGAGATAGAGATAGTAAAACAATGGACAAAGAATAAAATATTGTAAATTATAAGCACGCTAACATTAATGAAAAATTTAAGAGCAAAAGAGAAGCAAATGACAAGGAAAATGAAGACATATGATGAAGAATATAAAATATTAAAATCGAAAGATGATTCTATGATTACACATATATAATGTAAATATATAGCGAGCCAAAATTTTCATTCGAGAAAATTTATGCGTAATAATTAAAAAACATACGTATAATTTAAAAAATACAATAAGTCTCAGTTAAAACAAATTAGTTGAAACAAACCTATTTAAAACAAAATTCGCTCGTTATAAGACAAATTCTACTATACAATATATTATCTTATGCAGTACATATACGTATAAAATGAACCTTGAAATAATTTCTGAGAATATGAAGAAGTGCATTTTTCTGTCACAAGAACTCCATTCTACGTCATTATACTTGTCAATAGCCATTAACATAATCATGTTTAAATGGAAAGCGTTATCGCATTTGAGACATTGCTTCATCAGAATGGTTACGGTATGAAAATAGTGGAAATATCTCACAGATATTAATAGGAATTAGTTAAATAAGATGCGATCTTAGCAACGTTATCTCAAAACGCAATTGCGCTACTATTTATTACTATTACTAGAATATTACAAAGTGTCCATTACGCAATTTTCTTATCCTACGTATTATTTAATAAATTTTAAAATAAATAAAAGGGAATATCTTTGCCAATATATAAAAATTAATGCATGTAAATATAATAAATATTAATGCATAAATATATATATATATATATATATATATATATATATATATAATGTAAATATAAATATAAAATGTAAAGATGTCATTTAATCTACAGAATTGCATAATTTAATCAAATGCAATTCTTTAAAAAATTTAAATTTGAATAATGAATAGTATAGTAGCAATGTTAATAAAATATTGGAACTCAAACATTTACTCACAGCTATGACGCCACGTCTTTTATTTTTTATCAGAATAATAATTTTTTATCATTCATTGTCTGCGTTCGTAAACCAGTCACGTAATATAATAATAAAAACTACGTGCTCGCTTGTATAAATAATATCAGGCGCTCTGTAACGCATAGAAGTTTATAACTTAGAAGCATATTCAATTTTATAATAAATTTAAATTTCTTTTATTTTTGCAGCTAAACAAGAATAATCTTTATAAAATAATATGTTATATTTTGTAACAGAAAACTTTCTTGCCAATCAGATTGCAATATCTCTCATATCAAGTTATGTTTTAAATTTTGAAGTAATATTGCTGGTCGCTTCTATTATTTTAATATAGTTTAACTATATAATTGCTATAACTATGTACACTATTTTTGCAATAATAAGCTGTATATTATTGTCAAAATATATTTTACATTTATTCTCTCAATAATCTTATAATTTATACTGATTAATCTTAATAAACGCATATTGTGAAATAAATTATTTATTATTTTATACCTAAATTATTTTATTCTTTTATATCTAAGAATATATTATTATTATTTTTTTATTATTATTTATTATTATTATTATTTTATTATTATTTTTTCAATACTAATAGTCTGAAAGATTTTTATAATAATTTTATATTAATTTATACAAATTACTACATGTGTATGTGTGCGCACATCGCGATTTCCAATATGGACAAACATACCGAAAGAGAAAGTAATACAATGTCGTAAACTGGTAAGTAAGATCGTCATCGTGAGCGAAATCTGTTAGTCGGTTGTTCGCTCTTCAATAACGAACTTCGACGAGATACGTGCCATATTTTTAAAATTTTGTACCTAACGATTATTTAAGTGTCAAAGTAAATTAGTAAAAAAGTTACTTTATATTAATCATTCGCTCAACATCTCTATAAGTGCAAATATTCTTTGAAGCGCGTATGTGTTTAAAACTCTTCTCCGTTGTAAAATTAATTTTATAGAAATTTTTTATACACTATTAAAAAATAATGTTGCGAATTATAATAATTATATCGTTTATATTGTTTATCTGCTGGTTTGACTCACTGAGTGCTCATCCTGCGGATGAACCGACAAAGTTTATCCTCAACAACATACAAAATAATACAGAAAACATCTCGCCTTCAAAATTGGAGGAAGCAAAGGTAAATTTGCATTTGTACTATTCGTGCGAAAATATATGAAAATGCAATCTTTAGAAAATATAAACGTTATAAAAGGACGATACGCGTTATCTTTTTTTTTGTTTAAAACGATAAAACAAGCAAATCTAAATTAATCGAAAATTTTATATAAAAAATTCCTCAACTACTCTGTACAAAATTCTAATTGGATCTTCGAGATTCGCCAGCATGACCGGTAGGCGAAGTCAAAATTACTGTTTTGTAGGAATCATTAGGACGTGTTTTTGATGCGATTAGAATCGGCACAGGAAGATTTATCAATTCGATAATATTGGCCAGAAACATCATTATCAATCGAGCGGAGGTAATTATTATATCTATCGAATTTTTCTACTGACTATATGCGACAGTTATTATGAAAATATACAAACAATTGACATATTATTGCAATTAATATTAATCAAATATATTCTTTTATCAGTAACGATTTATAAAATGGACAAAAAGAAATCATAGTTGAAATTCTATCATAAATAGGGTGATATGTGGAAACGTTATTCTCGTTTGTTAACCAACTATAGCAAATATTTAACTTATTATTGTTGTTTTGCATTTTCTTTTCATTTTCGCTACTTATTCTTACTACTGTTAAATAACAATTTATTTAATTTATAATCGAAAAATTATAATATTGTATCTTTTTCTTTTATAGCAATTAAATTCTAAAACTAATGAAGCTCAAAATAATCTTGATCCAGTAGTAGTTATTAAGTTCGACAAGTCTAATCAAAGCCGCAGATCAGTGCAAAGTACAACACCGATAGTCTTGTTCCATCAATCACCACGAGAATCAGTTCGTTTAGAAAATGAGACTGAGCAAGCAATTTTAGAAAGACGAAAGCCTGACAACATCAGACAAATATTGAATAATATTGTGACGCCTACGCCAATCGTTGATGGAATTAAGGAGGAAGAAAAATACGGTAATACAGGAGATAAATTTATTGGATTGGGGAACATGATCGTTAAGGGCTTCGTAAATCTCACTAATTCTTTGAGCACCATAGTAAACGTAAGTATCTTGCAAAGCAACTGATATATTATCGACGCAGCGAATACTTGCAAAAATTTTAAAAATTAAATTTCCCTTCGATTATTTCAAGAGCATGTAGAACAATTAAATTGTGCGTATTTTCAGATCCCTTATAATGCTGCCAAACAAACTTCTCGAGCAGTATCTCAAATATTAGACCAATTAGGTAAACGGCTTATTGGACTCGAATAATAAATATAAATGTAAATACAAATATGTAATTAATTACGAAACATGTACATAGATCAAATAAAATATAAATAAATTGTCTTTTAACTATGAAAATTTTTTGCTTTTTGAGAATATATAAAAAAAAATAAGAAATACCACGCAAAATACCACGATATGTATATGCGTATGGAAGTACTGATATCAAAAGTGGCTACAATTAATAATAGCACTTAACAATAATGATTTATACCTTTTAGAATAATTTTCGAACGAATGATAAGATATCATTTTCTGTTATAAGGAAGTTGCGGATAAGTCAAACGAATGTCAGTTTGCTAAAATATTTTTTCTACTTTTATTCGCGAAATAAAGATACTATTTCTAAAAAACTTAGTATTTTTAAATTGTGTTATATTTTCTCTTGAAGATATGATGATGCAGTTACGTATATTTTTATATATATTTTTATTAATGTTCTTCGTCGGAATCGTCTTGGGAAAGGGGGAATACGGAAAAGTAAGTAAATATATATCGAGTATATGCTATACATTTTGCATTATGTATAATAATTTAAATATTTTTTTTCTATTATAAGTAATTCTCGTTATATTGCCAAAACTATGCTATTATGTCATAATCTCTAAAAAAATTAATAATATTCTCTAAATAATTTTTAAGTAAGCAAAAAACTGAACAAAAATTACGAAGAAAGAATTGTCTGATAATTCAGCATTGAAAATATATTTCTTCTAAATAATATTTACAATAAAATTTATTGAAAGAATTTCATAAATTCTAACTGCAAAATTAAAGAAAATATACTAAATTATTACAAAATCCTGGACATTTTAATTTATAAGTATGTTTGTGATAAAGATGAAACCTACTTATTACAGTATTTTTATTTAATATCTATTTTATCTTAATTTATAATCATTTTACATAGAAAATAGCTAATTTGTATTAATACACTTAAAGCAATTAATAAATTATCTTTTTCTTTAGTATGCATTTGAAGAAATATTGAAAAGAGAATCGAGAGATATAAGTGAGAAAAATTCGAATTATGTAGCTTTTCCTGGTAAGTAGTTCTCGTTTATCAAAGTTCATCTTGTTAATAGAAAATTTATTAGCTTTTGTATCCTATTTACAAAGTTTTTTCTTCACTTTGTTTCGGACCGTTTAGTTTCTGCTATTTTAAACTTAATATTTTACTTATAATATTATCTAAATTTGCATAAAAGAAGAGGAGGATTAAATTAAAATACTCAATCGTCTATTATACTTATTTAGGGTTTTATTTATATCAATTTTTATATCAATTTTTATATCAATTTTTATACATCCTAAAAATTGGAACTGCATTATGCAACAATGAAGAATTGGCTCCTTTTGTAAAGGACTGGGTAAGTAATTAATATATCTAAATTAACTATATAATACTTTTACTAAAATACAAAAAATATTCTTAAAAAAGCAGTTTCGCACATTGCAGAAGCACTTTGTTTCATGATTAATCTATTATTAGCTTCCATGTAGGATCTACTTTAATTCAATAATTTTTTGTTGTCTGAGAAATATGAAATTAATTTCTTCTAAGCTGATTGAACTTATAAAATAATTTCTTATGTTATAAGTTCTTGATTATTATATTATTTGTAATTGATATTTTAATTACTAAATAAATTACTAAATGGAAATTAAGATTTTATAAAAATAAGATATCTAATTAAAAAATTAAATTAAATAAAAAATAATATATTTTAACTATTCATTTCTTGAAGTTTAATTAGCAAGACCTGATATATTTTTTTAAATTGTTTATATATAAAAAAGATTATATATTTATACATATATTTTAATATATATTTTTGTTAAAAGAAAAATTGTTACTAAATTATATAAACAAAAATGTAAATAATATTTTCAAAATAAGTCGTGAAATATATTTTGTTAAAGTTGTCACACAATTCAATTTCTGAGCTGTTTAAGTAACACAACTATTGATATCATTTTTATACTTATACACACACATACTATATATATATATATATATATATATATATATATATATATATATAAATTTAGCTTAATATATAATATTGTACAAGCATAATTATTCTTATTCTAATATTGATAATATCAAACTAAGGTATTAATAAGATTAGTAAAATAATTTATTTAATATCGTTATATATTATATGCATATACAGTACAATATGTATATGTAGTACAATAAGTAGTATTACATACAAATTATTTAATATTAATATTATCTTTTTATAAAAACACTTTTTTTAATTTGTAGGAAATATGTAAGGTGGCTAATTATCTCAATGATACATTCTGTCAACACTTTCAAGTCAAAGAATATTTGGATTCAAAAAATTAATTTGGAGTAAAAAGCAGCTATGAAAGTTATAATCATAAGTTTTAGAATAATTATAAAATATTTGTTTATAACTATTTTCAAATATTTGTTTATAATTATTTTGATTAGAATTATAAATTAGAATTAGAATTAGAATTAGAATTAGAATTATAAATTAAATTCTGCGACAAAATAATGTTATAATTCGTAAAATTTTGCTTTATTTCCCAATAAAGTAATTATCTTGTAAGATAAATCTTTATCTTTGTCGATATAATATGTTACAATTAAATGTTTATTTGTAAAAAAATATATTACTGTAATCTCTTTAAGGATTTAATGTAAGGATGTATCTCTTTTCAATCATGCTAAGTAATTTATATAAAAATGCTTATGCATGCTAACAAAATGATTTTATAATTAAAGTAAATGAATTATATATGTTAAACAATTATTAATTTTATTGCAAAATTGTTTTGTATTCGCATAAATTGCTCATAAATGATTAAATTGCAACTTGTAACATAAAACTAATAACTAAAATATCAATTAAAATCGCCTAATCGTTTAATAAATGTTATTATACAAAGTGCAGATATCGTTTGATTTTTATTATATATCTATAGATTTTATTTATTAATTAGCTATGTATAATAGAAAGTTATATCATAGCTTAATATATGCATAAATATTAATAATCGTGATAACTACCGATATTATTTGACTCATCGTCGATACGATAAGTTCTATTAAGGTTCGGTATCAGTATGTCAAGGCGGTACGAAATTGCGTCTTTTTTCACATTAATTATGTGAAGACACGCGATATACAAGCGAGGTTATCGCAAGAAATAATTAGTCGTCCGCTATTAGATAAGCAAGAAATGACATTCGACTACATAAAAGAAATACAATACGATCTACGTCTTTTTAAATATTTTATTGTCCTTTACAGCTAAATACTTTCATCGTATAAATATATGTAAATAAAAGTCTTTTCTACAATAAAACAAAATCATGCATCATTTAATATGTATTCTAAATGCAAACTATTTGTAAAATTCTATTTTATCTTAGCATTCAAAATAGAAAAATGAGCGCTTTCGATATTGTATTTAATGGTTTGGAAAAATAAATACAATTATCCTGACTAGATCAAATAAGTAACAAAATAAAGTGAATGATCCTTCAAACTAATATTTCTATTTTATTAGAAACATTTTGAGTTTTTGTATTATTTATTATATTTCTCTTATTTTTTATATTTCTATATTTTTGTCGCATTTTTTTATAAACCTTTTTCCAATTCCATAACTAAAGGTATTGAAGAAAATGCAAAAACGAATATTAGTTCTAGATATAATGAACAAAATAATTTTAATAGTCCATCAAGTATAATCTCTTTAATGCTTATATCATTTATATTGCTAGCTACGATATTTTATCGACAATTTCGTGCCATAAATGTATTATGCGTTTTACATTACGCACTCTCTACCTGATAAGTAGTTATTATTTATTTATGGATACCTGTATATTTGACTTGCTTCTTTTTATGAATTTTGATGCATCGATATTTAATCGTATGCAACGTAACTAAAGTGAAAATCTTGGGTTTATTTGTACAACTTATACAAATGTTTTGAATTATAATTCGAATAATTAAACAGATGTTTTGGCTTATCTAATTTAATATTCTCTGAAAAGTATCTTCCAAATATCGATAAATAAAATGTAAAACTTCGAAATTTTTGTTATTATACAATAAAAAAAATAACTACAACAATAGTTAATTACTTTCTTCAATGCGAATGGAGAAGGCAAGAATAATGAAGTGAAATATACATATAATGATCAGTGTTAACATATAAATATATTATTTATTAATAATAATAATTTATATTTAATACATTCGTAAAATACATTACTGTCATCTTGTCATTTCGATTCTTCATCATATAATTGTCAACATCACTTTATATAAATTATTATTAAATTTTAAATTATGAATATATTCATATTTAACTGTTTCTTTCAGCGATATCAAGTATAACATATATAAGAGAAATTTCATTTTAATTTATACATTTATATATGTGTATATATATATTTAGATATAAAATCTTAACATAAGTTTATACTTATGACATTGAAGATATTTTGATAATCTATAATCTCAATTAAATACCCGAGAGACTAAATCACATAATCATGCACTATCTATCTATTATCTATCTAACTGTTCCCAAATATTAACATCGAGAATCGATGCACCGTACAATTAATTATCGCAAGTGATTATTTCTCAAGAATGAATACTGAGTATATATCGATTAGAGTCGTCTCGAATACTATTAAAGCAGGATAAACTTGTTATATAGGAAAATTGTGATTTAATACTCAATTATAATCTCGAGTCACTCTCTTTCTTTCTCTCTCTCCCATTCTCTCACTCTCATTCTCTCTTTCTCTTTCCCTCTCTCACGACATTATATAAATTATTCTTACATACAAATTAATTTCTCTGCTGTCAGATATAACTTACATCATTATCTATAAATATTGGAAATATTAAAAAGGATCCACAAATGATACTATTGCTTACGCTTAAGAATATAAATAATTATCAATCGATATAAAATCTGACAGCGAGAAGTCGCGATAATCACCGGAGATTGCAAGAAACATTACCAGCATTCAAACTAAAAAAAAAAAGGAAAACCGTCGATTAAATACTTATCATATTTTTTGGTGCACAGCGGAAACTTTTTGGTCAGTTAAAACCTCAACGTGTCTTCATCTACTTAAAATGCCTCATGTATAAAATATAGAATAATATTCAATAATCATCAATATAATATAATTTCGTTTTATATCTCTCTTCTGAGTTTTTTAAACAAACCTTCGCTTAGTTCGTTGCCTCTTATTTTTACAAATATTTGCAAAATCGTCGAACGAGGACCAATACCGACGATTCTGAAAAGCTTCGTTCCCGCTGCGTAGAACGGGAATCAGACACTCGCGAGGAAGGTTTTACATCGATCTCAGACGGTGGTCTCGTCCAAGATCGATTGGAAATTCTAGGTATTGGTAGTGTCGTAACTCTTGTACGTGTGAGAGGACCTCTTGTTCCTGACTGTGCAGAACAGGATCATGCTGGCTACCTGGCCGAACAGCTGGAGGAAAGCGACGACGAGACCAACCGTACCCACCACGTGGAGTCTGATGATCAGCCACATTTGTATAGCAGACGCGCATCCCTCCTTGTACCACAGTTCCTTATTGCGACCCTCCGGATCTAGACGACCGCAATATCGTTCCCGTTGCATGCAGCAGGAATCCGGCACTCGGTCCTCCTCGGGCCATGCCTCGATTTGGAACCAATCCGTGTAGTCGCGTACGCCGCAGCAGTGAAACTAAAAGCATTTACATTTATTTCTCGCACCTGTAATTAACCTTTCAACCGCGCGACACGTGCAAAAAGCTTATGCGATTAAATTGAGAAATTTGCGACATAAAATATTATTACTGCTACTGGTCTGATGAATAATAGTTTAATCGAGCACGCCAACCTCCGTATGTATGTGGTCCCACATGGCAGAGAGAGTTCCTGGCTCCCTGGTGACATTGTAATGCTTCTCAATACCGTACAGTAATTCTTCCTTCAGGCTTCTCGCAAGATGTTCCCTGAACACGAATGCTAAAGTGCCCAGCATGAACTCAGCGAGAAACATGAGTATCACCAAACTGAAATACTGAAAATTACGAAATGTGTGTAAACGTTCACGTTTTAAGTAGAGATTTCCAAAAAATTATTTTTTTACAGGATTTTTGCTCTATGGACTACTAACTTCGATCCTATCTACAGCCAAAATACTTCATATACACATCACGCGCTCATGTTCTATGGAAGCAGGTTGCTACATTATACATGCACGGTCTCGTACACAAGCAGATTTATCGATCCGTCATACATTACACGACACGAGTTTAACAAGCATGACTTGTAGCGAAAAAAAATATTGCATCTGTTGAATTTGTTTCAAGTCTGAAAATACAAAGGGCCTAATAACGTGTCATTTAAGTAAAAAAAGGAAAGTAATTTAGAAAAAAAGAAAAGTGTAGTTCAGGAGATATGGATCGTTCTCTATAAAATTATCCAAGGCAGCAAAAATTTGCTGACTACTAACAAAAGAGGTACTCAAGACAGCCAAGTTATACGAGTCTCGTGTGCTGTACGTGTACCTAGTATACTATAGTACGTACTTTTTGCTAGACGCAAGCGTTTTACAATGGATCACGTTGTACTAACCGTGATCAGCATACATCTAGACTGAAACCACGCGCCGCAGCATCCGAAGAAGGCGATGACGAATGTGACGCATCCCGCGGCAAGCAGTAACGAGTCCGCCGATGCGAAGCTGTACTGCGGCACCAAGGTCGCGTATCCGGAATAAGCCAACCGCAGCCAAAGGCCCGCACCCAAAATTCCGCAAGCGCATAACTGTAAAAAGAATTACGCATGTCAGAGTCGCGTCAAGCGTCATGAATGCCTGACATTCGACGAGCATATTTATTAAACCCGTTGGAATCGCGAATACGCGCCAAATAAATAGTTACACCAGGGATTCCAGAACTACCAGATGTTTCTTGTTTCAATTGCTTCTATATATCTGATTTTTATTGAGAGGAAATCGACTCAAAATTTGTAGTAAAAGTGATTACATCATCACATAATAATTTCAAGATATCTCGTAAAAAATATATAAATGTTGTAGATGATAAAAAAATATTCTTAATAATTAAAAAAAAAATACGTTGACACTTTATTATCGCATGTAGCAGAAAACTTAAGAAAGAATAATAATTCTGCACAGTGGTGCTATTGAGTTAAGTTAGTTGCTGATGCTAATTCGTGGTGTGTACAAAGATCCAGGAGATTATAATTAAAAGTATCAAGGGAGAGAGATTCTTATCACACGTATACCCACAACACGCGAGTTTACTGGGTCAATGTCGCGTTATTTTCATTCAGCTGCGCTTTTGATACAAAGTCGGCATTATAAATTGACTTTTGAACAACGTTATTTCAATCAAATTCGGAAAAAAGCAAGTTGTAAGCTAAAAGATAATCTTTTTTGAACCTTTGAAAGAAAAATTGATATCATTGATTATTTCATTTCGATAATTAAAGATCGTTTTAAAAAATATTTCGCTGATATAGATAGATTGCTAGATGCCATAACAAAAATTTATCGCTAATTTTTATATCTGAGTATTGTTTATAACATGTGAAATTTATAGCAAATTCTAATAATATCTTCTGACAAATTTAAGTCTCAAGTATTAATCACTGCATTTGATAAATGAATTTCTATAGTCAAACTTTACAACAAATATGTTTGGCCTTAATATAAATAAGAGCCATAGAAAAACTTTCTTTCTAAATTTCCCTAAGTAAACTCTATCTATCATTAAAATTGATTAAGTGCAAAACATGTGTGATATCACAATATTTGCTAATCATTCGTCTATCTTATAGTCAGTTGATTTTTCGCTTCGAAAATTGATGCAAGATCATTCTTTTTAATGATCTAGTCTAGGTCCATGCGCCAAGGTATGCTTGGAAACAATTGAGAACAATTGTGATACAAATTAACTATAAAGAGTATCGATATCGGTAATTCAACTGTGTACGCATAACGGTACATCGTTCACCTGCTAAATCATTCGCAAATAGAGAGACCGCGAGTCCATGTCCGAGAGAGAGTACAGAATTTCTAGGTAAGCCAGTGGGTAACCCACTGCGCCGTCAGTGACGGGAAGTCGACCAAGCGGCCAGGTGAATATTGACCTTACAACTTCGCGCGAGTTCCGTAAATTACGATACATCCGACATCGCGCGACGTACCTTGCGTCATCGAACGCGGCCGCGAAGGGACATGTTTACGTTTATGATGGCGTAACATGTTGGCGGAAATTCGCGTAATGCATTTATGCGCGATGAAGATCGCAGTGGGGATAATTTATAAATTGCAACTCGCCCAGCATGAATTAAGAAATTAATGCACTGTTACGCGACCTCAATAGCTAATTGTCAAAAGCGCGTTCGTACTTTCTAATTATCGTCAATGATGCATACGCGGTACGGTACTTTTGCAGAGAGAGAGAACGTTATATAATATATGTATCTCATTGATATCGAATATTCCATTTAAATCGTCATAGAAGCCTCGCTCTTATTGCAATTTTGCATATTTATCTAACGCAGCATCTCGAATAACTGCACTTGAGTAATGTATACGCACATCTTTCGTCGTGTCTGCCGTGAAGCAATTAATACGCAAGTATAATCAAATACGCGCGACAACAGGTGGCACGCGTTTAACAGTCTATTAAAGTCTAGTAAAGTCTAATGAGAGAGAGACGTGTACCAGTTTCAGTACCGTGTTTTATCACCGACTTAGGTACCGTAAGTTCATAGCTCATAGAGCACGGTTCAACGCCCTATTTAAGGCTTTCATCGCGATACAGACGTCGCCGACGACGGATGATTTCAAGTGGAATGACAAAGTGGGAAGGGAACAGAGAGAATGGGAAGGAATGCGAATTACAAAAGCGACGATTTAATAACCGAGTTGCGTAGGCCGTCATTAGTCGTGTTGCTTGCGTTGTTTCACTTGTCGTTCCTGATCAATCGAAATTATACCTGCACTGCACGTGTTTATGAATTGTGTGCTAACGAAACGTTTCATTCAACTTCATCGAGATGTTCGCACACGTATCTTTTCAACACGAACGAGACGTTCAAATATAACTCAAGTGTCGCTCTAGAATAGTTCGCAAATATAAAGTAATCGATTTTAAAATTGAATGAGATATTTTCTTAATCGTATAAATCCGAAAAAATCATAATCTCACTGTTTTTTTTATAATTATGGTGCAATTTATAATCAAAAGTAGATACACTTTTTTATGAAAATAAAAATAATGCGAAAGAAGCTTACCCAGATCAAAACGTTGAGGGAGCAGAAGACGTGCCTGATGCACGTGTATCCTGTGCGGCTCATGGCTCGATCCTTCATCAACTCTTCACTCTGAAGGGGCTGGCAATGTTTCCTGCAAAAACGTAGAGTGCGATCCATTTAAACAGGAAGCGAGTAATATAATCGTTCGGCAATAAGGAAACTCGTGAAAGCAATACCACTTCGCGAATTAACATTATACAGTAACATGCCATCAAGCTTCGGAGCTATACCAACGACCACAGAGAGAATCCACTAGAGTATTAATTACATCGACACAATCAGCAACTTTCGCCTTCTATCGCGCAGACACATAGAAAAGACTCTGACTTCTTTATCTCCTCCATGAATATTATTATAATTATTACACAATAATTACTATTGTGATGAGTAACCCACCGTGCGCATCAGCGCCAGAGTCTCGTGGTACGCATCACGGATCACCAGGAAATACTACGTTCGAGAGGCAAGCTGAGGAGGATAGATCGTGCGAGGAAAAGAGGAAGGGGAAAACCGCGACGAGAAAGACAGAACGAAAGAGAGAGAGGGAGAGGAGCAAAGTGAAGAAACGGGTGGCTGATGGTGAAGGAGGAGGAAGAGAAGACGGAGAAGGAGAATGAAAAGAGATCGACGAGCAAAGAGGATCCCGAGGAAGATCCAGAGGATCGTCTCAGCTGACTGATTGTCGATCGATCTGACAACAATTCTCGTCGGATGAGGATCCGCTCCGATATGTCTGAGCATGAACCGATATGCGATTGGTTCTCGTCCGGTCTTTCACGGGCCTTCTAGGTCTGCTAACGGGACAATCGCTCCGGTCGAAGCCGCTCACCTACACGCGATCACGATTGCGATCACGTAAATCGCGACAGGAGATCGGAGGCGATACCTGTGGAGAGACGAGGTGCGTTGAGCTCGTCAGACGTCACTTTTCCCGTAGATGACCTATCGAGCCGCGAGAGAGAAAAAAAAACATCCTCAAGGTCACTCGCGTGATACCCCGAGGGATGTCTGGTCGTTCTCTTCCGTCTTTGTCTCTTTCTCACCTCACGCTATTGCGTCGTGTCACTATTCTTTGTTAGCCTTTTACATCCCAGCTGAGACCTCTCATGGAACGCTAGACTACAAAGGTGAAGGTAACGTTCGCCGAAAGGTCTCGTATATAAAAATCTTCATTTTTGCGGATTGTGCCTTCCTAGAAATTCTTATTCACGCATATAAAGTTACATATATTATCTCAGACTACTTCCCACAGTAAATTTATGAGCGCTTTCTTTTGAATAGAAAAATGAAACTCTTGTGCTATTATTGTACATAATTAACCTAATTTAATTTTACCCACAAATTATTTTAAAATTGTGTCAAATATATTTTTCTACATTAATTTACGTCATTCCATACTTTCTAATTATTCTACATGTAATAATAGTTTTGCAATGCACTGTTAGAACAAATTTAATCTACTGCATGTTGCTACCCACAGAAAATTAAATGATTCTTTTCTGACTGATAAAAATGTTAAAATAAAATAAAAATAAAATAAAAATATTAAAATAAAATAAAAATGTTAAAATAAAATATTATCATATTTGAAATTTAAATTCGACAAAGGCGATAATTTTTCTGCTTTAAGTCTAGACGCTATGCAAATAATATTGATCGAATATATACAAGATAAAGAGAAAAAGAAGAAATATCGAATAAAAAAATTATCTGTAATTATCACAATATATATATATTCACATCAGCTACAGCGAATATTGTCTATTACAATCTCACATTATTATGATGCTTTCATTCCACGATTGTTATCGTCGAGTCGCTTGCATACATTGTAATAGCATAATTAATGGGTCGAGTAATTTCACTGAATTGTTAATTTCTCATTCATATCTTTACAAACAAAGCAAGGCAAAGGAATAAAATTAACTGGAAAACTATGGTTACTAAAAGAAGGAGTGATTTTCTGTTTAATCAAGATCTCTGATATACTTCGCATCTCTCATTAAGGCGGGATTTTATGTATGAAAACTCCATATCTATCCATAAATAAACATTTAGATGAATTTTTACCTGACAGAACGCATAATTAATGATAATTTAAAAATGTATCATCAATATCGTTCTTATTAATAGTAGTGTAAATAAAATTATCATCGCACACACTCGCGCACCATCTCGCAATTTACGAGCAGTCGTTCAGTGTCCTTGCAAATACCGTACATATTTGGCACAAAAAGATTTATCAGAATCACGGTACTTTTCAGCAAGAAACGAGACATCGGGTTCGACCGAGCATTCGCGAGTTAATGGAAAATCTGTTATCAGTTCATTGCGCGATTAATGTATTCTCTCCCTACTTGACGCAATGAGGGCCGTTATCAGAATTGAATAATATTGATTCGCCTTATCAAGAGCGACGGCCAGGCAAGGCTCTCACGCAAAACTCCACCCACCGTCGTCGTAATATTCGTGCCACTTGTCGCCCGTTAAATAAGAACATCATATCAACATCATTCGCGAGGATTAAACCGTTCGGGCAAAAAGAAGAGGATGCGAGCAGATGAAAGAAGCGACGAATAACGGAATGGAACGGATCTGATGAAAACAATGTCCATATTCATTATCATCGAGTTCGTAAAAGGTTTTCGTAGAATTTACCTTGCTGCACATATCTTTTTTATTTCAGTCGCTTCATGCGTCAGGGATAATCTCTGTGACATTTACAGCGTACATCGTAGTCAGAAGGTGTGCGGAAGGAAGAAAGCTACCCTATTCTCTGTGGCGGTTCAAAGTAAGATATATTTATAGACCTTGAGATATGCTCTTATTTTTATCCCATATAGCTGTTATAGAAATTCCAATATCTGTAAGACACACATCACAAGCTTTCCCTCGTATTATAATATTTTATTAAAGATTGCTCGCGAGAGTAAAGAGTTGGAGAATATTTCTTTCCTACTTTTTAGATAAAAAAATATTCGTATGAAGAAAAATTTAAAGAAAATAGATTGAAAAATTGCATTCCAAAGATTAATTATCTCATTTAAATATGATTAAAGAATATTTGCGAATATTGGACACATGCCGTGTGAAGAGATTAATATCGGCAACGGAGAGATCAATTTCTGACGGACGAAATGGAAGGCTGCGTGAAAATAAAGTACATTGAGGAGAGTGCGAAGGGGCGCACAAACGGTCCCCCTGCCTCGACTTCCTGCCAATTGCGGACAATTTGTGGTCATCTATGATCTCCCCGCTCGTCGTCGCGCGTCGTCGTCGTGTAAAATGCATGTGGACGATGCCTAAATGTAAAAGTTAACACGGCCCGGTTCTCCGTCCGTCTCTTTCTCCTTTTTTTATGTGCTATCGCGTTAATGCGTCCTACACATTCAACTTCCCACGTGATGTAATCGAGGAAAGGAGCACGCGCGTCTCATTATCAATTTTTCGGCAATGGCATATATGTGTAAGAGCGCAAAAGTATTATTTTCATATTATAATGATATTATAATGATTTCTCTTAAATGACATTCTTAATGACAGTTTTATGTCTTAATTTTTCTCCACAAAAAGAAGAAACAAAATTCACCTGCCAGCCATGGAACACTTTGGTTATTTATATTTTACTAACTAAAACAAATTGGTGCGTTGTTAGAATTAACAGTATTAGAAATTTACAGTACTCATTAGTTACTTTATGCGAAATGGTTGCATAAATCACGGCACTTACAGGATCGAGAACGTGATCTAGAAAAGCTATAATTATGTTGCATTAGAAGAATATACGTAACGAGCTTGTATGCCTAGGAGAACTCTCATACTTCGTAATAGAGGCATCCTATTATACTTATTATGACGATCCATAATTTCCTGACGCGGTCAGGTATCGATGAATATAAAAATTGATCATGATTATATAAGAATCACTGCAAAATATTGCGTACGATAAATTAATCGCTAATCGTAAGACGATGTGTCGAGGCATGCGTATCTTTCATCGTAAAGAAAGCCACACGCAAACACGAATCCAGCCCGTTTAATCCCTCCCGATTCTTCTCACGTGTACGTGATCGGTTTCTTAAACACCGCATTAAGAATTTTTTTTTTTCGATAAATCCATCATTTAAATTCTTGCCTCGTTCTTAAAGCATTTGTGTTTGTCAACTCTTCCTTAAAAATAACATTCTTCTAAATAAATTTCTGTTGTACCAGATAGAAATTAGATACAAAAAGTTACAGGAAAATATATGAGCTTATTTTTATTTTATAAAATATACTAAATCATATTCTTTAAATAATATTTATTTAATTCATCAAATTTTTTTTAAAAAAGATAAAATATATATTTACGTTTAAATATTTGTCAGGAATTTAATTAAAAAATTTAATATTTAAATTATTTCAAAAATTTCGACCATGTATGTTTAAAAGCAAATAGATCGAATTACAATGCAATGAAAGCAATTTCTGTTCATCGGTATTTGAGTTTGGAATGTATGCAATTTCTCACGAATTTATCGGGGAAAGTAATACATTAAGAAAGTTGATATATTCACCGAGGAAAGTACGGATTCATTGTTCTATTAAATGTTGGTGCATGGGAAGAGAAATCGACGAGCGACCTGTTCGCACGATCGATTTCCTGGCATTTGGGATAATGGTGTGCGTTATCACAACACACTTTCGGATTTCGACACGAAATGTGCGTGCAATTTTATTTAAAAAATTTACAACACTCTGATTTTTTAGACGCGTGAGAAAATCATTAGATAATAAAACTTTCTCTTTATTGTTTCGTAAGAGTGAGACAGATCTCATTGTCGGATGCTCTCTAGCACAAGTAGTATCGTGCTCGATTAGATAAATTGTCTAATTTGTAATTACGTACATGAAACGTTACAAAGGAGCGCATACATCAGTAAATTCGCGTAATGATCGCAATCGCTAGGTTGCGACAATTCGTTGAAAACGTATTAATCCTTTCCGTCGAGGTCTAAATCATCTCGTCGAGGCTTATGAGACCATGAAATACACGCGACAGTATTAATCTGTGCGATATGATGTGATGATTCTGACGCTATGAAGCGATATGAAGAAGATATTTCAAATTCGAGTTTTAAAATTAATATTTTTAAAAATTTCTAATTTGGAAATGTTATTTTTTTGAAGAAATAGAATGTTATATATTAAATTAATAATTATCTTTGGCTTATTCAAATAAAATTTCTTAAAATCTTAAAGTCATTTTTCGTTTTTTTTTACATATTTTTCTTTAATTTTTAATAATTTACAATATATTTTTGTATTGATAAAAATGAAAATTATTAAAAGCAAAATCTTTTTTGAGTTAATTAAATAAGATTTTGTGATTTATTTTCTTTCTAGAAGCTAGTTTATCAAATGCTCTTTGTTTTCAGTTATTAATTAATTGGAAACAATAAATATTGAGAAGAAATTGATTCAAGATTGATCAAAATTATCGGTGTAAAAAAATCCAACTTTAGCATATTGTATATAGATGTCTACTATTATAAAAAATAAGAAATTTATCTCTCTCTCTCTCTCTCATTAAAAGAAGACAAAGTCACTCTGTTTCTCATTAATATTTATCTACAAAAAATCGCGCCGATATAATCAGCAATAATGATGTTCGATCTATTATACATTTTTTGTGATGTAATCTTTTAATTTTATCCGTACGTATGCAGATATTATTAACTGTGTTGACGAATGCAACTATATTCCAGTATTGTATTTGTAAGCAGAAATATGTGAGTTTCACGTGCTGAATTCGCGAAACGTTTAATAAATCCGTTTTACCGGACGAAACACACAAGTGAATCGCATTCGCACTTTATTAAGTGAGTTTTACGTTTCACAGACTTGCTTTGCTCACGCAACTGTATATATGTCATGTGATATAAACTTTGTGAAAAATAATAATTATTTCAATAATAAAAGTTTCTTAATCGTTTATTATCGCACATGTATTATTTTAAAATATCTTCCCTCTTTGTATCATAATGCAAATTATTGGCAAATTTTAATGACAATTACATATCTTCATTACATATCTTAACATCATTATAAATTCATTTTCGTAAAACCAATCGTTCATATTTAAATGACTCTCTCTAAATGTCTCTAAAATAAGACATGAGATAAACTCTCGTGTACATGACTTAGAACAAATTTAAATAAATCTACATAAAATTTGCAAAAATTGCGCGCTTAATGACGAGCGAAATGATTAAATATGAAATAGAAACTTTTCGCAAAAACAAGCAAATAGCTCACTGATCACTCACAGGCAGGACGAGGAGGCTCATTCGTATTATTCTTTGCAGAACTATCGCGAGCGCTTCGTCATCGAATGGTTCACAAAAGTTTATGGAAAGCGCAATCAAAGGTCGGATCGCGGCAGCTTTCGAGTTCACGGATCGACTGCGCGCGCGATACCAGCTCGCAGAAACATCCGTTTTTCGCTCTTCAAAGCCAGTACCAGGATCGCCATCTGACGGTTGCTCAAACGTTTTGTGAGATGACAAGAGTGACGTAAGGAATTAATATTCACAATGTGTTAATTACAAAAAATCGATCAAAGCAATACACAAGTTTATTACTTTGAACGAGTATCAGCAAAATATTATTTCGAAAAAATGAAGTGTTACGTGTGATGAATTCTATTTTAAATATTGCATTCTAAACTGTGCGAAATATTAAAATCTTACGTCACGAAAAATGCTAACAAACTTTTTAGTTTAAATGCGTATAAATTGTTTATATTCGTTACAAACACTTCGTAGTGGTGTAAATTAATTACATATGTATAATTGTACAATGTAAATCTTTTGCAAAAATTACACACACGCAAGAAATATTTTTAGCAATATTTAATAAAATCTTCATTATTGTCCTCATCAATTGCATAGATCAATGAAACGCACGCGTATAAATCTAATATTTTAATTTAAAAATTTTACATTTGTAGTCAACATTATATGTCAATAACAAGAAAATCTGCACTACACATTTAATTTACACATTCCTGATACTTAGATGTAAAAACGAGTTTTAGAAATTAGCTATACACATTATGAAAAAGAGAGACTCTATTTATAATTATAAAATACCACACACGCCTTGAGAGTGTCTATACATTAACAACGTAACGAGAAATAAATCAAAATGCAAACCGTTCTAAGAGAAAAATAAATAACATATTTTAAAAATATTAAGAAACGGTAAATGTTATATCTATTTGTTTTATCATTTTTGTTTTCTAAGATTTTTAGACGACTCTTCCATAGATTCCAGCCATAGCTGAAGTTCTTTGGTGGGCTCTGGCTTACGTGTTTCCGGTTCTATTTCAGCGATTAAATCGTCTATTGGTACTTTCAATCCAGTTACAGTTTGTCTACTTAATACAACGGCATGAATAAAATTATTCGTGAGGTTGATGAATTGCTGCTCCACATAAAAGTGTTTATCTTCCCAGTAGATAAGCTGTAAGAATACAAACGAAAATTAAAATAGATTTAATTATTGTGAGAGATTTTCAATTATGAATAGAAAAACTAATACTAATACACAATACAGTGCAAAATATCGATCGTAACCTTTGTTGTAATCTTGTACAGCGTAAATATAGGAATTGCACGGCGATATCGTATAGTGCATGCACCTTGAACAGCACCGCCTTTTCTTTTTTGGATCGCTGCATAAATTCCTGATCTATCATAAAAATGGAAACGTGCAAAATCTAACTCGCGCAGGTACCTCGCATTATTCATGTGTTTGAGAACCAGATCGACATCCTGAGTACTGCAGATACCTGAAGCAAGAGAAATTTCTGTGTCAGATATATTACTGCTTAAATATCTAAATTTTGTAAATAATTCAAACGGTTGGAAAATTTTTTGCTCGAATCTTGAAATTTTTCAAAAATTTAGGTTATTGAATTGATTGGAAATTTATTTGCTTCTAATTCTATTCTAATTTATTTAAATAAATTATATCAAATGTTTGAAAATTATATATTAAAAAATAAATTTTTGGAATTTGTTGTAGTAATTTTACAAGATACACTTTATATATTTAATTATATAAATCTTTATACGAACGAATATGAACGATGTTCTATGATTCGAGAAACATGTCGACATATATATATAGCAACGCTGTATAGTTATTTGCTGACCTATTCCATATTATGAAACGTCATGGTTAAAAAAACATTCTATGTATAAATACATAATAAGTGTGCATCCATTTAAATAATTATAAATTATGAATATATTGACACACGATTGCAAACAAAAATTATTATATATAATTTTTTTTGCAAAATATTATTATTTATATTAACATATTTTTATTGTGACTTGCCTTTTTTAACGTAACATTAATATTTATGAATTTTGATTTTGATATAAAAAATATATAATAACAACATAATACAATTATGTGTGAAATTTACACCTTTATGTATTGAATAAATTATTATCTTATTTTCTACAATTATGAAGTATTTGAACAAATTTATTAATTTTTTTCGTACATTTCATTTTGATTCAATATATGTAATAACCGATCCTATTAATTCGCCTTTTATCCCAATTTTATGCTTTTGAAATATCTCTCGAAATAATCAAGCGCAGATAAATTTATTAACAAAATTAATAAAGCAATCTATTAATTGATATATTTTAATGCAATCATAGTGAGAACATTATAGTGAGAATACGATAATTTACCATAAATTGTTGTCGTGTCAAAGAGCTTCTTTTTTTTCTGGAAGAGTCTGCCCCACAAGACGGTGCCGATAATTCTCACAAAGTAGTTCACATCAAATAGGATGTAGATAATGGCGATTATTGCCACGCCACAAGAACACAACATTTTTAGCTGTTTACTAGCGTTTTTCTTGATATCTGAACAGAGCGATAATATTGAATAACAGTAGACGCGATGTATGCCTTCTCACGGTCAGCAGATAACTAACCGTGAATATTACTCCAACATGTCTGCAGTCTACAATATGCGAAAGAACCGGTTCAGGCAACTATAGAAAGAGATGCTTCAATATATTGTCACAGTTCAAAGCATATAAGCATTGTAATCGAAATCGGAAATTTACAAACAAAGTATCTTTTACAAAATTATATCAAGATTTATGTTTATATAATGCACTTATATGATGAATTTATTGATATATAAAAAAAATATTGATCATTGTAGATAATTATTCTCTCTTTTTTTATAAATTAAATCACTGACATTTTTATTCAGACAAACTTACATACACACACATACAGATAGATATATATATACATATATAATATACATATAATATGTGTGTATGGTTTTATATAAACATAGGAGTTCGGAAACATAACATACATTGTTCCTTAGACTTTCGAACAAATCAATTTTAACAAATGTAAATTGATTAAAAACATTTCTTACAACTATTCAAATTTTAGTAATCACTATCCGATTACCAGATTGCAAATAAATTAAAGTCGAATCAATTGTAATATTAAGAACGAGATCTTCCAGTTCTTTTACTAAATTTTATAAATTTCTATTGAACGTTTGATATAAGACACTTTGATTGAAGAAGTATAGAAATACGTAAGACGTATTATCGGCTTTACTAAATCGATGACCCTATCACAGACCTTAATTAATTATGCTCACACATATCTTATATCCATCATGTTGCATATCCGATTAGACGAAATGTATAATCATTATGCGTAAAAAGAAAAATAAATTAAAATATTATGAGAAGGTCGAAGTTATGACGAAACAATGCGTTTAATCTCATAGATTTATATATATTTTTTTTCTTTCAATGTGAAGGCACCTAATATGCTATATAAATACGCATCCATTGTTACATGGTAAATAATTTAATATTTGTTATTTTCCTAGCATATATATATATATATATATATATATATATATATATACGCATTTCCCATTGAGGCGACTACATAAAAAAATTTCAGAGCCATAACATATAACATATATATACATATATACGTATATATAATACATATTTCACATTACATACATATACATATGTATACATATCTATACATATGTATGCATTTCTTATCACTAGAAGCGCATTAAATGTTCTATGCATTTTTTTATATATCATGTATATTTTATAATACATTTACAATGCTCGATGATAAATTAATATAAATAATGGCACAAAAAAATGCACTTCGCTTTTAATTTGGAGATATTTCATCTTGATGCAAAAATATTATACATACAATTTAATTTTCATAATCTACAGTACTTCAGATTTTAATATTAATATTTTACATCATCTTTTTTATATTCATGTGTGTAAATCAAATATTATATAATTATAATATATAAAGATGACAAAAGCAATTTTGAGCGTGAGAAATTTTTGTTTCAAAAATTTCTAAATTTTGCTAATTTTAAGATATTTTTTTCATCTCATTCATATTTTAGTAGATTATCAGTAAGAGGAAAAAATCGCTCTCTGCGATTATATTAACGATTTTATTCCGTGTTAATGAGAGGTTTAAAACTTTAGGTCTCATAAATGGGTCTTATCATAGATTATTTTTATCATTTACTTTACCAGGAAAATTTTACGCGCCAAGTTTTCTGTCGTGTCGTAAATAATTAAACATTCGAGTCACTAGAATCGCTAAATTAATATCATTCCGGAATCCCGCCAAGATGTCATCCGATGATTGAAAATTGGAGATCAAGAATATATATCGCATTCCGATTTATTACACAGTCGTAGTTGTGTATATCGGCGCTGCAACGACGCCACTGTTGGACGTCGTGGCGTCCTTTTGTCAGCAATGTGTCGTAATAATTGGCTCTTGTCTTAACATTGCTGAGGATATCTCGTTACTCTCTATCCATCTGCTCACTTCGGGTGGCATTTCTGGTCGCACAGGAGGTACCTAGAATATGAGACGTATGTATATATCTTACTTTTAAAATATATTTAATTAAAAATTAAATAATTATCACTAAGGCTGCACAAGACAATATTCGTGAAAATATTGCATTGATATTGAAAATTTTCTAAAACTTAAATCTTGTCTTAATCTTGAGTTTTTGATTCTTTGTGGCAAAAATCTCGTATTGTTTGTTATCTCGTTTTTTTAACAATTTTTCTGATACTGAATAATTCAGCATTAATTTTATTTAATAAATATTCTGATTTATTAAATAAAATTTTTAAAATTTTTATAATATTTGGTGTGATTTTTTTCATCTAATTTATAATATCATACATTTTAGGTTTTTTAAAAATCAGTAATTTTGACAGTTAATTAAAAATCTCATCTTAATTTTGCTCTGAATTTCGAAACAAGATAACATCAAGACTAAATGTCAAGTCTTGATGTTTCGTGCAATCCTAATTATCATATTTAAACTAAAGCATTTTTAAAGACATTCATTCCTACCTGTGTAACACCTGCTTCAACATTTCCTTTCTGCTTCACTCTGCGATTCAATAAAGCGCCGATAACAGTATCCGCACTACAATCAAGAAGTCTCTGCCTGCAAATCGCGATAGCTCTTATGAAACCATCGCTCGGTGTAATAAATCGATGCTCCATGAAGAAACTTTTTTCATCCCAATAAATAATCTGAAAAATAATATTTTCAATTTAATTATTTTACTATGTAAAATTTTAAATATTACTTGTTCAGGCAAGATACCAATATTATTTCAAAGAACCGGATATCTATGAAAAATGGACCATGAGCGAACAGATATGACTTATATACCTATGTGTTAGGGATAGTCCGAGCAACAATAATATCGAGATCCTGAGTACAGAATTATAAGAGAGGTCAAAGTATACGTACTGACCCAAGCTATTGTGTGTAAACACAAGGAAGGAAAGATAAAATACGGTTCAGAAGAAGATAGAATACAATCCAGACGTACTAATAGAGTAAAGTATTATATCTACAGGTGTCCAATTTTAATCTATCACTCTTAGTAACTTTGCAGGGAGCGGTCGTAGAGAAAAATATTTCGGACAAAAATTGTTCGAAGGAGGACATAAGATGATGTCATTGGTTTGACTTTGGATAATCATTTGAAGGCTAATGTTACTCATAATGTACTTATATAATTGTTGCACAGCAAATACAATTAAGTTAATGCGTTTATTATTTTTTATTGCGCTACTTTTCCTAACTTTTTTTAACCGATTTTTTTTTTATATTTTGCCATAGACATATCCATTGTTTGATTTTTTTATTTTCAAAATACTATTATCATATATAAAAAAATATATACTATTTTCACACATATTATTATCTCGAATATTTGTTTTTATTGTTATTACTACAAATTGATAGGAAAAAATTAAAACAGTATAAACAGAAGGAAAGACAAAGCGCTTATAAAAAAAAATTTATTTCCTAAAAGTATGTGTAAGATAATATTGTTATTTTTATGGAACATTTTAAAGCTATTTTAAAACAATGCGTCATATAATTGTTCAATGCAATACAATTATAAGACCATGTAAACATTTAAGCATAGTATTTACCTTCAAATTATATGATAAAATAAGATATTACGATAAAAGTGCTGTGGAAAAAACCTTATTTTTCTCTTTTAAATAAACATATATTAATGTTAAATAACTATTTCTTTTTAAATTATACAGCACATGCCACGCATATATTATTCATGTGTTGCAGTTGCTTTATTATTAATTATTATCATTATATTTTTTATATATAAACGTTAGCAGATTTATTACAATTTTTTTAAATTTAATTACATTTAATTAAATGAAAGATTTTTAGGATATTATTTCAATGCAACATTTCTCAAATATCTTGAAATTTGTGTTGTCTCCAATAGGTTTCAATTTATTTTTGGCTGCTTGTTTTATTAATCAGAATATCGGTTTTATTCAAATGGCACTTTAATTTCTTAAAAAATACTTTATATATATACTCTCTCTTTAGTTTAAGTCATCTTTAAATTTAATATTCCATTAACAATAAAAGCAATGAAAACATATGCGATGAATGGACTTTGCCGCTCTATAATATACTTGACATTAAAAAAGCTGTCAAGATGCATAATTTTGGTGATGATAGATCAATATATTATTATAAATCCGAAAAAAATGTATTTACAATCTTTTTGTTCTTTGACATCAAATTTGAAATTCACATTAAATGTAAATTTGAGTAAATGTGAATTTGAGTAAATTTGAGTAAATGTAAATTTGAAATTCACATTAATGGTAAATTTACATCAACTAATAAAATCACTCACACATTTCATTCTCTTTCATTTTTTCGAGCTGTCAAATTATAATTTTCACTCATTGTCAGTGGCAGATTATATAAAATAATATATTTTATATATTGAGATAATTAATCAGCATCATAGAAAAAAGACATCAACAAATTTTGTTACTTTTAAATAATAATTGATTGTATACGATTTTTTTAAGAGCGAACAATTATATTAACTGCACAGAATAATTTAATTCATTTTTTTCATGCTTTTCTTTTCACAGATGCATTACAATAATATCGATATTATATAATCTTCTGATTATAGATATACACAAAGCATTTATTTGTGTATGTGTATGTGTTAACTTTTCTATATATAAATTACCTTAGACGTTATTTTAAATATCATTAACGGCTTAATAAAGCGTCTGTAGCGTATAGTTGTAGCTCCTTGCACGACGCCCGATCCTTGGGAACAAACCTCTCGATATAAATCTGTTCTCTCATAGAAATCGACTCTCGCAAAATCAAGCTCGCGAAGATATCTTGCGTTGTTCATATGATATAAGAGAGCGTCCACGTCGGTGGTGGTGCAAATTCCTGTGAAAATTATTACATTATAAATAATTTACATCGCAAAGCAAAATACGCAATGTTTATTCTTTGATTGCGTAATTTGATTACGTGATTGCAAATCAACGTGCAAAAATGCATATTGATTAAGTTTAAGTGATTAGATTTTATATTGCATAAGTAAAAAAGATAGATAAATGCGCAAAAAAGTTATTAACATATACATTAGAAGTATTTTTCTTAAAAAATTTGGAAATATATTGGAAAAAATTATTAATATATACATATATTTCCAATGCAATGTGAAAACTAATCACTTGAACTTAATCAACATGCATTTTTGCACGTTCCATAATAATAACCAAGGGCGTCTATAGGATTTTTTTCAGTGGGGGGATGATATAAAATGTTGTTGTTAAATGAGGAATGTAGGCATTGAAAATATGAAATGAATATGGTTATAAATTTTTTTTTCATTTTCCAGGGGGGTGCATGCGCACCGCTTGTCCCTCCCCCTCCTGCAGACGCCCATGCCAGCGTTTATTCAAAGAAAGAGTATGTAAATTTTTTGCTGATTCCAAATTTCAGGGAGGGGCAAATGCCCCATCTTGCCCCCCTCTCCGGATGATAATAACATAAAATATATAATATAAATGTGCTTTTCACACAGACATAATTATTAAAAATTTAAACTTTTCATTCTCTATATATTAAGATTATGTAATGTGTAATATTCAAGTTTTTTTTTTATGACTAATCGAAACCAGAAATTGTTACATGACATCACGTACATTGCAAAATAATTACTCAAGATATGTTGATTTTAACTTTGAACAAAGTTAAAAGAATTAAAGATGCGGAACTAGTTAATCATCTATATAATCACAAATGGCTAATAGATGTGTCCGCGATATTCACTAGACCAGACTTGTCTAACCTTTTTACTAAAGTAATCGATTTTCATGATTGATAGACGATCGATCAACATCGCATTTAATTATCTAGAGAGCAATATACGCAATGCGTTGTCATTATTATACGTATTTTCCTTTAAACGTCATATATAAATATTTTAATATATTTTGTATATTTTTCAAAGAGAGAAAATAAAAATATATTTAAATACATCTTTTTGTGTAATATTTTGTGCATTCGTAATATTCTTCTGTTGATAATTAAATGTCATATATAAAATAATATTTTCTCGCGATTTTATAAAACTTCTTTTACATGATTTTATATAATATATTTGCGACAAAATACAAAATAGAATTCTATTTATTATATATGTAACATATACAATATGTAATAGATAAATGATAAATATATAAATTAAAATATAAATATATATATATATATATATATATATATTTTTTATATAATTATGCTTTAAGTATTTTATATTTAGTGAAACTAGTAGAATTCTATCTTTAATTTTGTCGTGAACTATAAACAAGATCATGTAAACTGACTTTTAATTTAAAAAGAAAAAGGATAATTAATTAGTATGCGTATAATTAATTAATTGGTTGATTCAAAGGTAAAATTATGTCAAAATGATAATTGAAGATTCATCAACTATTTGTACCATTTCGAAGTTGATTCAATTAGAATTTCAATTTTACTATAACACATTTAGTTTTCAACTTTAGTCAGATATTATATAAATTATATTTTTTGGATAAAAATTATGCTGCAATTCGATTATAAATCACGATAGACGAATTAAATAGCCCTAAGCTAAGCTATTATTACACACAAGATTTTTCTATAAATAGTATCATAAATACGTAAGCAGAATCAAAGGTTGTTAGTCATTTACATGAAAGGTAAAATTTGCAAAAAAAGACATATATTAATTGTAAAATTGCAAAGATTGTTATTTTTTGACATAAAAAGACAGGAAAAATGTTGATAAATCGATCGCGATGGGTTGAACACGTTTGCGACATTATTATACAAATTTTTCTATGAAAAGCAATGTAAATACGGACGCAGAATCAAAGATTGTTAGTTATTTGCATAAAAAGGACATAAATTAATCATAAAATTGCAAAAGTTGCTATTATTTACATGAAAAAATATAAAAAAATATAAAAAATATAATTGATTATGACGCAGACAAACTTATTATGCACAATTTTTAAGTTATATGTTTTTAAATTATATTAACTGTTATTTGCTGGGTTATTATGCACATTTTTTATAAAAACTGCAAGAAATAACTAAATAAATAAGGAAAGGAATCACAGATAATTTATTTGCATATAAAAACATGTATTAATCATAAAATTGTAATGAATTGTTGTTTATTGCTATGAAAATGCGGAAAATGTTCTGCTTGCCGTAAAATGAATCAATATTACTTCTGATTTGCAGCTGATTATTTCCACCGATTAACTGATTCCCCACATGGTAAGTCAAGGTTCATGCGTAAATATCTAGACAAGTCGTATGGATTCTAGGATTATATCGTAACGATAAACTTTATGTAACACATATATAATGCTCATGCACATATGTAATGCTCCCATTATATTATAATCATTTTCTTAATTGAAATAATATTAATATTAAATGTTAAATTTTTTGTAATATTATTATATAGTATGTAATATATAATATAATAAATATTATACTATATATTATTATTATATTATTATTACTATATAATTATTATATAATTTATTATATTTATTATATTTATTATATATATTATATTATTATTATATTATTACTATATCATTATTATATAATTATTTATTATACTACATATTATGTTATTATTATATTATTACTATATAATTATATAATTACATTATATAATATATATAATATATAATATATATAGCATATTACGTCAAAAATTGTTGAATCGAACTGAAAGATTCTCCACATAATTCACTTTTGTTTTCTTTGTTAATTAAACCATTCTGTTGGAATAATTATTAAAAGATAAAAAAAGCAATCTTGAATACCATTGAAAAATATAATATAAAAATATTTTCTCATACCCCCATGACATTAATTAAATGTTACGGCCTTTTATTTATTTTTCCAATTTTTACAATAAAAGCATCTCATATAACGATATCCGTTTTATATTGTTTTCGAACATAAATTAAAGCCAAAAAAGTATAATAACTGAAATTAAATTACTTTTCATGACATTTATTATAAATACGTTTGCGCTTGTAATTAAATAAATAAAAAAAGTCTGTAGCATATGTATTTCTAAAAGATTTACATACCGTAAACTACTGTTTCGTCGAGAATGTGTACTCTTTTCTTGCAATAGCGTGCAAGGAAAACGGTGAAGAAGATACGCAGGAAATAATGTAGCTCAATGAGGCCGTAAATGAGTACTATGGCCGCAAAGACTCCGACAAGGACCCAACAAGTCATCATCCTGACCGCCGGTTGTCCGCTTCAAGGAAAGTCGATGTTCTCCCTATCGAGGGTTAGACTTTGGAAATTCTCGACACTGCCGCAATAGCTCGCGCCGGTTTATCGATTTGTCTGAGCGGTTGATGGCGTTCGCTGGCGGTTTGCTTTGGCGTTTCTCGTCTAGTCAATAAAAACGCAGACTGCGCTCGCACCATATCGAAAGACTCTGGACGAGTTGTAGTGACATCGGCGGATTCATCTTAAGACGTTCGCTAATGTCATTCTGGTGGATCTGTTAATAGAAATTAAAATTAGAGACTTAGACTCTTTGGATTGCCTGAAAGAGAGAGTCAGGAAATGTGTCTAAAAGAGAGAGTCAAAACTTGAAACTGAAATTTAACGATACGGATAATTTGCATGTCTCATCTGTAAAGGATAACTTATTGTGGTTAGCACGGTTAATGACTGTTATAAAAAATATCATTTCTAAATTTATACGGAATGTATATATATGGAAAAGAAAGAAATATTCGTGGAAATTTTCTGAAGGTAAAAAGACTTGAAAATTGTTTATTTCGAAATACTCATGTTAATATTAAGAATAGTGTGTATGACTTCCCGTTGAATATATTTAAATATACTATCGATTCTCTCATAGAAAAAAAAAGTTTTGTCAATGACGAATATTTGCACGCTATTGCTTGTCTTTTTAAATCATCATTACTTTGCACAGGACGCGTTTCTATACATATTCATTATCCAAGAGTAGTGATCCAAACCTTGAATGTCCAGTAAATATAAATGTATTAATAATCGAAATCATGATCTCTTCCTCGAGGATTAACTGAATCTTTTTAAAGACAATAATCACGATAGCATTAATAATTGAATAAAATCTCCCGTACGATCAATGTAAAAATAGATGTACGTACAGCACGCACTCTTAGAAATATTGAACTTACAGGTTGATACACCGATGTTAATCAATTCTGCTAACTTGACAGCCGATTGTCAGCGATCTTCTATACGATTTATATTAAAAAACGTAGACAAATTGCTCGAATTAATCGAACTTTTAATATATTTTAACTATGTTGATGAAATGATGAAAATTATAGTATAATTGAGATACACAATTTTGCTTTAATAGTTTTAATTATCCATTACTTTTTTATAAATTATGTCATAATAGAAAATTTTGAAAATTTTTTATTAATTTTATATGTGTCAAGAAATTGGCTTCAAATTTATCAAAAGATATTACATAGAATACCACGGAATGCAAAGTTCACCCTGTCCAAATAAGGGAAGAAAATTGAATCGAACACGATTAGCGTCGATGTACGACTATCCTCTAGCAAATTTAAACAAAAATTAATGAAAATCAGATAAGATAAAAAATTTTATGTTATACCTGCGAAACCTACTTTCAATAATTTCGTATTTACCAGGCCCGACACGTTCTGGGCCTGTTGTGTTATTCTTTCCGAAAATTTAGCGTCTACGCACGAAGTTCATCTTTTATGTAATACACACACGCACGCACATACATGCACATGTATATATGTAGAATGTATCACTTTCGATTTTTTTTCGGTCAATACTTACAATTTTTCTAACAGTCTTATAAATTTAACAGGAAGTGTTTAATAATCTTTTAGCAAGATCTTCTGAAAACGATCACCCATACCGATGTTCCGATAACTATGTGGAGTGAAATCCATCAGGATGCATCCGATGGCGATCCTATTCTATCGATGACATCTCGCATACTGGTGATCGACGTCCCCGGCTAACGCAGTGATGCCCCTACTCGAAAACCGCATCTGCGCCGAGGACATCCAACTAGGAAGTCAGGCTCTCGGACTCTGGTGGGAGGTTTAGAGCTCATAGAACTTTGACGTCATTTGCTCTGAGTTTCAAGATTGATCCGGTAAAACCGTGAAAAGATTGATCTAGTAAAGACGTGAGAAGATTGATCCGGTAACGAAGGCGAGTAGACAGAAAACGGAAATCCAATTAAAGGATGTCTAAAAGTCGATATATATAAAATAAGTTGATATATATAAAATAACAGCTAATATATCTTGATATCAATAATTAATAAATTATTTATTTAAATAACAAAAATGATTAGTAAAATATTAATTATTAAAAACATTATTTAATTAACGAGAATTATTAACAATTAAAAGAGGTATTTTTTCTTTGTAATTTTAATAAGTCTAAATTTAAATTTCTTTAATAATATTAAATTTAAAAAATATAATTTTTTAAAATTAAAATCATTCAGACAGGCATAGAGAGCTGGAGATCATTATTAGTCGCGAATTATACAGATTAAATAATAGTAAACATTAATAGGTTGAAAATTCAGTTTTAATAATACATAGATGTTTAGACAATTTAAGAGCGAACGTTTCGACTTATATTTAAGTCATCTTCAGCGCATATTAATTCTCGGAAAGTAAGCAGATGCTGTACGCAGTAAACATATTTGAATTAATGAATTTCATTAATGAATTTCAATTCGCAGTAAAACGGTAGGGAGATCATCTTACGGTTATATCCATGAATGAAATGGATCTTACAAGTTTAGATTAATAGTTTGTGTGGTTCTAATGGACGTTTGTCAAACCGCAGACCAATAGTCAGACTATAAAAATAAGTAAAGTAATTGTCAACCATGGATTCGCAATATTTACATTTGAAATGAGACTTTAAACTATGAACAGAATAGAGATTATTAAAATTAAAATAATTAAATCAAATTAAGAAGTTATTAAGCCCAGTGAGATAAAAATAACTTACAATATCATGATGAGTCCGAATTATATTAATTTATCTGTCACTGGAAAAAACTTTATAAAACTGTATATTACTTCCTTCTTCGAAGGTATGAATATAAATGACAGAATAACGTTCATTATACTAGTATTAAATCCATTAGAATCACACAAAATTTAGGCCTATTAACCTAAACTTGTAAGGTCCGTTTCATTCATGGAACCGTAAGATGATCTCCCTACCGTTTTACTGCGAATTGAAATTCATTAAATGTTTACTACGTACAGCATCTGCTTACTTTCCGAGAATTAACATGCGTTGAAGATGACTTAAATATAAGTCGAAACGTCCGCTCTTAAATTGTCTAAACATCTATGTATTATTAAAACTGAATTTTCAACCTATTAATGTTTACTATTATTTAATCTGTATAATTCGCGACTAATAATGATCTCCAGCTCTCTATGCCTGTCTGAATGATTTTAATTTATTAATTAAGAGAGCTTTACTACTATTTAATTATAATTTTTTTATATAATTTTTTATAAATGTCTAGATTTATAAAAAACCACATTAATTTGATAATTGATTGAATTTTCTAACTAAAGACTAAATTAATTAACTAAATTAGTTTTACGCATAATAAATTATCGAATTTTATTTTGTCAATCTAACATCACTTTAATCGATAATTTTGACAAGTTTGGTATAATGAGATTTTTACCAGGCAAAATCGATAAAAATGCGAAACATTGCGGAATCGCTTAGTATGTATTTACTGAAGGAAGTGATGTTGACATTCCTTTATAGTTCTAAATGCAATATAATGTATTAACAAAAGATAAGAACGTGTGTATCGAGATAAGATGTAAAGATGAACAAAGATACCTACATCGAAGTATGTATAATAAAAAAGATCAAATATCTGTTTCCTTTATCTCGTTTGTAAACAATGAACGTAAATGTATTAATGAAAATGATTAATAAAAGAAACAGTAGCTATTTGCATTACTAATGCATTATGTTACAAGCCACGTTTTTCGATCGCAAAACCTGACCTTTTTAATAAATATTTTATTTCTATGAATCGTATTTATTTCTCGCGATGAGATGCGTTGCTCAACGTGCGTGCGGAACACACATAATTGCCGCGTACTTATGCGACATATATTGCGGTATGATTAACAGCCGTTTGAAGGCTGAGCATGTACAGACAGTACTAATACTACGAGAGAAGATATTTTGGCCCTCGCATCGAGGAAGCACTTTCATGCTGATGTTTTATGGAAAACGTGTCCCGAAGAGACGCTGGTATGAATTCGTCGTGAAATCAAAATAGAAAAAAAGTTACGCATCATGTGCGAATTCTCACTAACATTTCAGCCTTCGCCTTCGTTTCTTTACTTTTTCTCCTTTATGCATAGTTATCCCTCTTGCGATTGACTCATGATTCATAAAAATAGTGATACGGACAGTGAATATATATTAAGTGACTATGATCGGAACTGTTAAGTTGAGAAAATACAATCAAGGTGTGAAAATTTCTGTGACACAAAAGTCATAAAAAAGCTACAAGTTTCAAAAGAAACGTGCTTTTGCTCTGGAAAAGAATAAAGATTTTTATTATTTTATAATGTTGTAAAAATATATATGAACAAATATAAATATGTATGCAATTATCAACGAGTGAATTCTTTCTTTTTTTACAAATATTCTATTATTTAAAAAGAGATTTAAAAAACTGAATATCATTCGAAAAATCACATTCTACCCGGAGTATTGAGAAATTCGCAGACAAAAGGACTGTCGCTGGAATCGTATCGACGTAACGGAAGATCGTACGGAATCGGAAATATTGGAACAGCTGGGTCTTCTTCATCTTCAATGGGAAACGTTGTTGTTTGAGTCTAAATATAATTATAAATAAGTGAATTAATAACAGTAATATTAATATTAACCAATTAATCAGCTTTTTCTTTTGATAACATACTTTGATAATATAATTAATATATTAATTAAAATATGTTAGACGTAATATAAAGAATAATATCGGCGACAATGGTACTTACGATAAACTTTGGTATGAATATAACACCGGCCTCATAACTCATTATATAATGATTACTTCGTTGGACTCCCCACGCGGCTTTGCTCAGATTCGCACTGGTGAGCACAAACCATGGAATCCTTTTCAAATCGGGCGAAATTCTCGTATAAGATTTAATGTGAGGCATCGCGCGGTCTCGTCTTGTTCGTTTAGCTCTCCACTGGCTAGATAATTATAAAATTCTGTAGAAATACATAACACGGATTGTTTCTAGAGCATAAAATTGAACAGAATATAAACATTTGAGACTTACTATAAATATGATTCTATCCATTGTTGTTTAGAGTGCACTTGCGCGCTATAGGGTAAACAGCAAGACAAATTCCGACAATCGAAGCTGTGCTTGTAATTCTCTATCGATGGATAAATGAATTGAAAGTTTGGATGGCTCTTTAAGCCCTTAGTAGTCTCCCTTGACATACACGGAATGATATCTTTCGACAACCAGCTTTCAAAATTTGGTCCAAGACTACCTATGCTAGAACTTTGCGCAACTATAGGCCACTGAGGAGCATCCGGTGGTAACGTGGCGTGACGCGATAAGACGTATGCCAATTTTCTATGTCCCCAAGAATCGACCTCGGCGTCTTTGTGAGTTCCAGGAACAGATGCCACAAGAAACACATTCACAGCAGAAAAATTTGCCCTCCGTACGGCCCATATCCACTGTGTTAAAGCCGGATGTCTATATTTACTCAGATAACGTTCGAGATCTTTTTTAAAACCCGTTGGAGATTCTCCGTCACTGGGATTTGCGGATTCCGGAAGCAAAGGTAAGTGAGGCGAGATCCACAGCCTAATAAGAAAACAATGAAACTTAATATTCATCTATAAATATTATATTATCAACAAGAAATATAAGATAATAATATTTAACAGACCCTTGTGTCCGATTATCCCAATCATCAGAGTACAAATTAGCAGTGGAAACTACCACTCTGATTCCGTCATCTTTGTATTGAAAAATCATGATTTTAGAATGATGGCAACCAAATCGAACTGGCATATCTACATGTATCATGGTAATGTTGGAGCCTAATTTCTCACGGTCTACTCTCTCACCATATAAAATCATCATGTCAGTACGTTGGCCAGCTAACAGATATTGCAAACACAACCATCCAACATCTACCATAAAATTCATATGAAGACTATTAACAATCTCTCCAAGACTTCTGTCGAGAATCTCAGGAAAAGTAATAGAGAATTGTTGATTATAAGTCTCCTTAGATTTTTCAATCCTTGTATAAAATAAGTGATAAGGTGCTGAAAAGGCATATTTTAATGCAAACTCTCCTGGCTCCACAACAGATACTTCATATCCAGAACGTCTCATCATCTGGATGGCTTTCTTTCTAACTTCCTTTCTGGCGTTTTCAGAATCACAAGCTCGATACATATCCATAATGGACGTTCCAGAATTTGCACTTTGTTCATTACTTGTAGAACTGCTTTGAGAATCACTGATATTCTGTTGACTATCTTTAGCATGATTGCTGCTCTCTATACTCATTCGTTTCATCTTCTTTGTTACGGAAGGACCAGCTGTAGATGATTCCTGATTTCTTTTTTTTGCCTATTAAAAAGTTTTATATTTATTACACATTTATTTTTCAGAATTTAAAACTCAAAGATTCTTTTTCCATTTCACTAACCTTGGTGCTATTTGAATTCTCACATTCTTTAATTAAAGCTTTAGAGAGTGCCTGTGCTTCTGCATCCATCTGTTTGAGTTTATCTTGCCTCTTCTGTATCACTGCTTTCTTATGTCTCTCTGCTTTTTCTTTCAAATCTTCTTTAATATCTGATGTTGCAGTAGACGAAGATTGTACTTCAGAAGATAGACTACTTATAGGTAACAAATTATCCCCATTCTTGTTTCTCTCTTTTCTGAGTACCATTTGCAATACTTTTAATTGATCCAGTAATTGTGAACGATCATTACATGCAAAATGAAGGACCTCTGGTATTTCTATTGTACCATCGAGCTGATTTACTAGTAATTTCTCCACTGAAATTTAAATAACAATTATTAGATTTTGTTGTGAGCATTGTAATTAAAAAATATAAATAGTATAACAATAATATAGTTACAATGAGGATGTGACATTTCGCTAAAATGAATAGGATTTTTCCGATAGCATTTCTCCATAAAGGGGCAAGACTTTTTCACTGCAATATTAAATATCCATTAAATTATTTTGTTATCTCAAAATTCAAGAATTTGACATATAACATTCATAACCATTGTTACCTATAGAACTCATTGCCATAAATAAAATATTAAATAGTCTGAGAAAAAGAATAATTATTTGTAAAGGAAGATATCCCGCTATCTCCTTTGATAATAATTATAATGTGACGTATAACACACACTATCAATTTTTCTTTAAATAATAATTATCTCATATAGGCGAATCATATGGATGTTACTCCATTCTAAACTCGGTTATTGATGCATGAATGAGAGAATTGTTTGTACTTTTGTACTGCTATCTACAGTCATTCTATAAAACTACGTAGCCATATTTTTCGACACAGCTGGTAAAATCATCGTTTGATTGCGTTGTACACATTTTCATAAAATATAAATTAAAAACACGTATATTCTGTGTATAGATTTAATTATCTATTAAATTGCGAATAATTCTTTTCTAGTCTTTAATATTATGAACATCATTACATATTATTTTGAAAATATTTTTATGTATGTATGAAAATGTGGATATAGATGCATTTTAATATAAAAAAAAAACAGAAAAAATATTAAAAGAATATTCTTCAATAAACTTAATATTTTTACTTCCACCTGTTTCTCTTTCATATTGTAAATAAAAGAAAAATCATTATTACAGAATTTATAAATAATATAATTAAAGTTAAAACAAACTTCCACTTTCACTTATTGTTTTCATGCAATTATGATAAAAAAATTCAATCAATGTATATATCAATTATTAAAAAAAATATCTTCAGGTTTTGTTAGAATCATCGATATCTCGAATCGCTTAAGTCATTTGATTTTTCATCTCTCGGTGTTATAAGCAAAGTTGAAAAATGTCAAAATCAAAATCACGTAAAGTATTGAAAAATTAAAGCAACTTAACAAAGAAATATAAATCACAGAACGTTCATGATGATACGAAAATAATGTCAAACGAGAGATGTACGATTGTCGCCGCGAGGCATGATATATTTATCATTTCGTCCTTTAAATCTTACGAGAAATAGGTGAATTAAAAATGAAGAATTTTTTCAATCTAAAGAATTATCCAAAAAAAATTCCAAGATCGGAGATCATCGTTTTACAAATTAAGATTATTTTATAGGAATCAATTTTTTACGATTCACGTTTTACAGACCGATCATCTTGTAAATGAGTGCGTGATTACACGAAACATATGGGTGCATTTCTCGAGAATTCCTTGTTCTTTTTTATGGACGACGCGGAGTCGATTCTGCCGATCTTCCGATCCCCCGAATACGGCGACCCGGGTAGAATCGTGGAGGTGACGGATGTCGGCTGCGACACGGAAACCACGTATCCCATACATCTCCCACGCAATGGGTGCTATCGACGTCGTGGAGGAGCCGAGAGCTACGAATCGACTCGTAGAGCCGCCGAATGGGATAACGAAAGGCCGAACAAATTTTTTCGTACAGTAACTACGATCCTAAACAATAATAAAGTAAGCGAATTTTGTGATCGAGAAAAAGGGGATCATTGTTTCAAGTATCTTCCGATCGATCTAGGACAGAAACGGAAATTATATGGGAGGTAAAGCGCGACGATTCGATCGCGATATGTACATCGGTGACCTGGGTTACGATCCGCAAGAGAATTCCTTCGACGAGCTGCCCTTTGAACTACCAAGAGATGCTGTTAATTATAAAGACGATTACTATACCCAATTCGTCGATCCCCGAATCGGACATTTTAATCGAGCGAAACTTCCGCGAGATTCACGATATAATTATACAAAAGGTCCGGAATCTCTTTTCGCGCAAAATAGTTGTGCTCATCGGAGGGAAAATATTTTTCCACAAAGATGGTTTATTGAAAGTGATGAGAGGAACTTCCACGAAGATGCTGATATTCGATCGAGAGGGTTGCCGTCGAGCGAACGAAAGAAACGCGCGCGAACCAAGATTCTTTCGAGACTGAAAGAAAATTTTCATTGTGAGACGGGTACGTTTCTTGAAAGCAGATGGAATTAATAATTCTGAAGTTTAAAAATTCGGAGAAGTTTAATAATTTCTCTTATAATACTTAATCAATTTTAATTTGGTCAATTTTGTGCAGAATTCGGAGAGGCCCCAAACACGGCAAAGCATCAGGAACAAGATAATTTTCCTCGCGAGATTGACTCGAAGGATAATATCTGGGATTCCGTTTCACTGGAAAACGACGCAAGTTGCGAAGAATTGACTTTTGCGGATTCAAGAAAGTTGAAGAATCGTAATTTACAGGCGAAAACATATGATTTTATCGATTCGGAAAAGGAAGAGGAGTCCGAGGAAACGCGGCGGAAAAGCAATCGAGAAAATTTATCGCCGAAAATTTCCGCTAAAAACGCGAAATATCAAACTTCGAAGAGCAACATGATGAAAGAGAAGCCCAAGATTTTGCAATCGAGCACGTTAAACGCGAATTCTCCGCGCGTTAAATCTCCGAGGACGCCAATCGAGCAAACGTCAAACGTCAATTCCGCGGGAAAAAGTAAGCAAGACAGATTCTTTTGTACCAACTGTGCAGCCTTAGCGAGTAAATTTAATGTAGCATCAGCAGATGTCCCTGCAGTGGCAATATTCGAATTTGTGCGTTAATGACGTCACAGTTTCTTGCAGTTTTGCTGGATTTATAGATGTGTAACTAGGTTAATTTTTATAATGGAGATTGAAATATAATAGAGAAATGTATTTATTTTTTTATGTTATCTATAAAAAATGTATAATGTACATACATGAGCACATCTTCGTGATAATATTTTTCAATGCGTACGTATGTATGTATATATCCTTTAATTATATTTCTTATCACCCAACACTAATAAATGTTTTAGCCATCTTATCTTATTGCATTCATTTTCACATGAGTTACATATGAGTTCTTTTGCAGATTCAATAAACGTGAAATCGCGTTCGGCGGTCGAATCGAAAAAAACCATCAATTCTCCATCTGAGAGAAGGACAGAAATTATGAACGCGGCATTCGCTTCAACGAATGTCGACGATCATCGATATCGCACCAGTAAATTTTCTAACAAAACGAATCAATCGGCGAAAATGTTTAAACGCATCACAGATTCAAATAGCAACGAAGGAATGAACGCAACGAACGAAGAAGATAATACAAATTCTCTTAAAAATCCTAGAAGTAAAATTAATCGAACCAACATGGCTGCTTCGCGATCGGCAGCCGAAGAGAAGAACGAGAGGACATTTATTTTGAGGATGACAGGCGCCTCGCCTATTCGCACAGGAGTAGAAAAGAAGAAGAGGAAGTTCTTCTCCAGGTTACCCATAAGAACGTGGAAACGTCTGAGGACGAAAGAACCTGCCACGTTGCAACAGAATGACGTTACAAACGGAAATGATAACCGAAAGCTTGAGAATATCGCGAAATCGAACGATCATCTGGAGGAAATAAAAGACGATAAAGTTCGCGAGGAAATTCGGACGGTTCATACAACCGCAAATCATATCGATATAAAACGGAGCAATCGTTTTAAAATAGGATCGCTCAGTGCGGATAAACCGAAAATAACTTCTTCCAATGTTAAGAATATTAAAAGGCTCAAGGACTTAAGGACGAAAGGAACGACAAACGAACAACGAAAGAAGAGAATGAATACCGAGTAAAGCTACGAGGTATGAGATATTTTAAAATATCCCATACAGCACAGAACATTGTTGTAACATTACAGCAATATTGCAGCAACAATGTAATATTGTCACAATATTGATTGAATGTTACAACAATGTTCTGTGCTGTATGGGATATAACATATATTATCAATAGTGTAAAATACTCCAGCAAACACCAAGTAACATTTATATAATTGTTAATTGTAATTTCCCACACAACAATATAACTGTTACATAACAGTTTTATTGTTGAGTGGAAAAATATAACTAACAGTTATATAATTGTTGCTTGCTGGGATATATGCATATTTTCAAGTAATGAGCTTGTACTCAATTTTTAATCGATTTTATCGACTTTCATGGATAAGTGGGATCACGTGCGGTAAAATTGAAAGAGGACACGGAGCAAAACGATTTTAATCACATCGCGACTCCTTTTTCGATCAGTATCGTTTCGTGTTTTTGAACTTTGCTCGAGTAAAAAAGAGAAAGCAGCCGCTCGAAAATATGTAACCGCATTGAACGAGACGCGCATAATTGCGAGGCGTGTAATGGGGCTGCACGCGCGGTGGGTCAAAAGAAGACCCCCGAATGATACCAATTATGCCATCAACGCACCGCGCGTCCCCCTGTCGACGATTCTGTCACAGCACAGTCACTTCGCCCGCATGTCAACCCCCGCTTGCGTAACCACCCCATAGAAGAGAGCGTATAATGCTGCGTCGCGATTCTCGCTGGGGTCCGCGCGATCTCAGGATCACACAGAAGGGAAAATATGTAATTGTCCGTATTTACCCTTGCACCCGGCGCGTACTCAAACAACAACACAGACGTGATTTAATCTGGCCGCGATGGCTCGAACATTTTGTCGCCGTTCGTTCCCTCTATTTGTAACATCCACGATTAAACATTTTACAAAGTCTGTTCGCGCCAAGAAAAACACGAGACGATATTATCAGGAAAAAGCGCAAGCCTCATTTCGATATTTACAATATTAGACGTAAAGCTAGTCGAAACTATGTCGGTTTCAATCTTACTTTGTCTCATCTCGATCTTTAATCATCAGGACAAGAATGCGAGGACACTAGAAAGCTGGAGAGAAACCGCGACGCCGAAAAGTGGAGAAGCAAAAAGGAGGCGGGTGAGCCCAGCTGAAGGCTGGATAATCAAATAACCTGCACGCACCGTATAAATTATCAATCAGGGCGCGATTGTGCAACCCCAACAGAGGGAGCCATCCGTGTCGGTAAGGGTTGTTACACATTGACGTCGGCGGCGGGGAGGGTTGGCGGTGGACAGAGGCGGCGGATTGTGTCCTCGTCCTCGTCGTCGTCTCGTCTTGTCGAGTGACCCCGCAACAGTTATCTTCCCTCCGTGTGTGGGCGTGCGTGAACGTGAGTTCACGCCCTACGGTTCCGATCGACGCGTGCGAGGGAGAATCACCCATGTAAGGTGCGGTTCGTCGCACGTGTTCGCGAGATCCCGCAGATACCAGGATCGCCAAACCGACGGCATCGAGAACATTTGACGCGAGGGAGAGGGTTTCGAATTCTGCATCGATTTTTTCTTCAGC